TCCATTGCGAAAGGAGCTAAAATATTTACTATTAGGTCACGGGTTTTAGTTTTAGCACAAGTAAATTTTTTTTCATTAAATAAAAGACGAATAAGATCTGCTGTACAAGTCATTGAGTTAAAGCTATGATTATGCATAACAGTATGAAAAGCTAAGGTTATTTCTTTGGCCGCTAATTTCAATGATTTGTCATTAGCTTTTAATGGTGTAAAAAAATTATTTACTTTGCCAGATATCAATGCAGCCTTTTGTGCTATTTTATGTTTATTGGATTTCATATGATATGTTATATCAGTTTTCCCTCCATGGCTAATTGAAAATGTACTCAAACATACAGTACATTGCACATCAAAATTATTGTCGGTTTTTACCTTTTTAATGAATGGAAATTCATTTTGGAGTTTGTCAGTGAAGCTGCATAATCGTTTTGGAGCCATGATGTTTAAAATAATAATACGTAGAATTGCATAAAAATAAAAATTAGTAACTACAACACAGAACACAGCAAAGTAATTTAATACTAAATACGTATGACTGAAGAGTGAAGACTAATATATGACTATAATATACGACTAATCGTTATTTCCATAAATTGTATACGCTATGTCGTTATGAAACTTTATCGGTAAAATTATCGGTCCTCGGCTATCTCGGAAATTTCCGACAATTATTTATTGTTTGTTATTCACATGTGAACAATTCGGGACTTATTTTAAGAAACCGGTACTTATCCACGTCCCGGCCGGGAAATGAAAAATATCGGGACTCTGTAGTAAAAACCGGTAGTGTCCCGGCGAAATCGGGACGAATGGCAACCCTATAAATTAATAACAGTTTATAAAAAATCGAGGACCCACTTGAAGTTAGTCACGTCAATCCGGTAAAATGAATATTCTCTGATAAGGCAATACAATGTAAGTCACTTGTACGAAAAACAATACGTAAACAAGCGTACTAAAGTATATTTATAGTAGTATATTTTAATGCTTAATCCTTAAGTAAAATCGTTGATATAATATAAAATTAATACAAAAATCCTAACTGATAACAAACAACGTATTCTATGCACTCAAGGACTATATGCCAATTCCATGTGACAGTAGTACCATGGGTAACATTTGACGCTGTTTTAAGGATAATCGGTTTAAAATATCTTCATTACAATCATTACATACGTTTGAAAAATATCATGAGCATTACTTTACTTTACTCCATTGTGTGTTGTGTAATGATATACAATAAAAAAAATGTGGCGGCTGAAATGTCAGATGCAATACAGGCTGCAGAGGCTGCACCCGTAAGACCACCTATGGTATAAATATTAAATTATGATAGAGGATAGACACTATCTTATAATATAGACAGTAGGGTCTAGGACATTTCGCCGTATCGTTTCGCCGCCGGACTATTCGCTGCCGTACTATTCGCCGTGACCGCTGCACCGCCGGACTACTCGCTGTCGGACTATTCGCTGCGAAGAGAACCTCCACACGAAATATTATTATTATCAATTATGTACTTATCATTAAAGATTAATAAACAAGAACATTAAGGTTATGATATTTTTTCAAACCTCACCACCCGACTTTTTACATGCGTTCATCCCTGATTGACACTCTTTGAGTTGTGAAACATTAATTTTGATATGTTCTTCAATTTAAATCAAGTACATTTTTACACCCCCACAGCCCCACAATAGAATTTGCAGCATTAATTTCTGTTTGTTCATAAGCAGCTATGTGCTTGCATACTTCTCTGGGGCAGAAGATTTTTAGAAGAGCGCATAATATGAAAAAGTCCCGATAATGGTTTTTGGAAAACCAACGCTTTTGGGAAAGAAAAATTAACAAAATTTTTCGTATGTACGACCTACGTTTACGGCTTTATATAATGCGACAAGAATTATAAAATTATTTTTTTAATTTTCAACATAAGAAAAAAAAAATAAAAATTTGAAAAACCTGTAATTTTCTAGGTAATGAAAATGGATATGATGAATCAATAGTAAACATTCAATACCTAACTCAAAATAGTGAAATTTTAACATTTAATAATAATAATATAATATAAAAATGTATACATAGTTTATTTTTTATATTACATATATAAATCCAAAAATAGGGATCCGGTATACGGCATATACCCGCGTATATTCTCCAATACACTACTTAGTTAATTAATTAATTAATTAAATTAACCAATATAAACCTAAATATATATGTAACATAATATAATTGACAATACAAAATAATTATTATAAAGGTTTGTATAGTAAATAATAATATATTGAGTTGTGGGAAAAATTAACTACGAATACATTATAATTGTTTGGTCGAAAAATAATATTAGTGCCAGTTGACATTTACTTATACTTTTAACTTCTGTGTGTTTTTAATTGTTTATTTATTTCATTGTTGAAACAGTGAAAATTCATTATGCTGTTATAAGCAGGACTCGGGACTTATAGCACTTAAAATCATTAAAATAAGCGCTTAAAAAAGCACTTAAAAACATCATTATAATTAATATATATCATTATATATGTCCGACGGTGCAGCGGTCGCGGCGAGATGGTCCGGCGGCGAGACGTCGCGGCGAATCGTACGGCGGCGAAATGTCCGGGTCCGCAGACAGTATACACCTTATTTGCAATGTACGTATTTGTTACTGTCTACGTTGACCAACAACTAGCAGGGTTTGCAATTGTTTTTTTTTTTTAGTTTTGTTAAGTTTTTTAAACATTACCTACCATGTACTTCAATTTTTTTTTTTTTTGAGCAGACATATGTATAGAATTATTTTTCTTGGGGGGAAATTTATTTTTACACCCTATGAAAAGAAAACTTTTTTGAACATATATGTGTAACAAAAGAGGCTTAGACCTCATGGGTTTCCTAAAAAAGTTGGTAAGATTTAAAATTAGGAAGGGGAACGCTCCTCAATTTTTGATGAATATCGTCTCCTGACATTTTCCCCACTTTGATCACTGCGTATACACTTACACGACGAGACTGATGTTCCCAAGTGTAGTGTTTCACGACTTGTATTATAATTTAAAATAATATTCCATTAAAACTTCAGAAATATTTCGTAAATAAGGCAATTCAACATCCCCAACGTTGATCCACAGCAAATAAAACAGTTAAGTAATTAAAAACACGCAATGTAGTTAACACTGGTAATGTTTATATAATTATTAACCAATTAAAAAACTTCGAAAGAGAGCTTATAAGTAATAAATGAAAAGACATTCTGCCTGTGATTACTTTGCCACCATGGTCATTGATTAAATATATATGTAATTACTACTATTGGTACAGATATGATATATTTCAGCACCAAGTGTTAGTGAAGTGTTTTGTTTTTAAAGAATGAACTGATCGACCTTGATCACGATTTAAGATATACGTTACATACGTATCTTAAACCGTGACCTTGATAAACACAATACAACTGTTGTTATCTGTTACATATTACATTTAAAACGTTTAGTGTTATAAGTGATAACGAACATATGTTCGTTATCACTGATGACAATAATACCGTTATCAAAAGTTATCCTAAAGATCAGGCCGAACATTGTTAACAGCCAATTAATTTCATGACAATCTTAGGCTTCAGTATTTTCTAAATTACTTAATGTCAGTGTGAAAAAAAAATTTAATACATTTCCTCATTCAATGCTATTTCTATATCAAGGTTGACGTTAGTCTGCAGCTGCCAAACAAACCAATTATTTATGATTATCATACGAAGAAAGGAATATGAGAAATATTTTCGATCAATTTGTCTTGCATAATGGCACGCGACACACAGGTAAATGAACCGAATATTTTTTTTTTGTATTCTTTAAAACTAAATATTTCTGTTCATTATTTTAGACTGACTATTCGGTTTCTACTAACGTGTTATATAGTTTGGCGGCTGGTGCCATTGCTGGTGCTCTGGCCAAAAGTACTATAGCTCCATTGGATCGAACTAAAATTAATTTTCAAGTAAATTTAATATTAAAAATAATTTATATTTATTGAATTTATAACATAGATAAATGTATGTTTAATTATTTAATAACAAATACAATTTAGATATCACAAGAAGCGTATTCTGCTAGAGCTGCCTATAAATTTTTGATTGATACTTATTCAAAAAATGGATTCTTTTGGTTATGGCGAGGAAATACAGCTACCATGACAAGAATTATCCCGTATGCAGCCGTCCAATTTACAGCATTTGAAGAATGGCGAAAGTTGTTGGATGTTGATTCTATTAACATAAAGTAATTATAATAACAATGTTTATTTTTTAGCTAATAACCCAATTATAGGGAATGAACAATAATTAAAATGGGAAGGTGTTTTATGAATACTAAAACGTTGTTGAGTTTTAAATAACAAATTATTTTTTATTTTTTTTCATTTAAATTGAATATAAATGACCTTCATATTTAACTAAATAAAATTAATTTTTAATATTTTTGGATTTTTATTTAACTCAGAAAAACACAAATTTCTGTTCTCTAGCTCATTCAGATACTTAAATTTTAGATAGTTAAAAAAATATTAATAGTACTTTTCAGTATTTTGTTGATTAGTTTGGATACATAGTCAGTGGTGTTACGGCTAGTGTTAGGAGTATGGCTAAACTCAAGTTTAGCCACTGCGTTTGGCTAATATCTAAATTTCGGAATATGTCCACCAATATTTAATATTATCCAGATGCATATGGCTAATGTCTAAATAACATTATCCATATAAATAATTAAACGGTTTAAGTCATAAAAAAATTCTTTCATATTTTCTCTTATTCAATAATAAATAATAATATCAATCTTATTTAATAGTATCATAGATTATGGAATAATTTTAATAATAATAGAGTAGAATTATTATGTCAATGATAATATGTACCTAATTTTATTATAAAGATTTACGACCACTTTTCATGACAATGATAATGTAATTCATGTATGGTATGCCTATTTTTACTCAATAGTCTAAAGACGGTTGAATACTTTTCCCGAGAACGGTGGGACCCCTATCAATAGTTAATACCGAGATATATATTATGGTCTATGGTCTCATCTAAAAATTCTTCGAAATTTTTATTTTTATATTTTTTTAAATTCCATGAACTTGTTATCAAATGCGATATTTTACAAAAATATTTTTCTGGTCTTGAAAATCAAAATTAGCGGGATAAACGAAAAAATAATACGTTAATTTCAAAGGAAATAAGTTAAGTTAATTTATTAGCAATAAAATAATTTGAGTTAATAAGTTAATTTAACTTAACTTTTAATTTATCAACTCCCAGGCTTGAAAACAAGATATACCTACAAAGTACTATAAGCTGGTATCTTAACTATTTACAAACTTGAGTCGATAATTACGGTAGATTATTACGGACTGTGTCTATCGAGTACATAATATTGTATGCAACCATATGCATATTGATTTTAAAATAATATAAAAATGCACACAACCGTGTACAATATTTATATTATTGAAAATTATTTTACTTACCACGTGCATGGCTCACCTCTATACAACTACCCAACACATCAGTATTCATTAAATATTAAAATTTAAAAATATTGTATTATTATTGTAAATAGTTGTATATTTTTAATTTACCTATGGCTAATGTTATTTAGTCATTAGCCGATAACTGTTGGATAATGTTGGTTTTATTGGCTAGTGTTAAGATTATCCATTTGTTTTTGTTGGTCGAAGTCCGAAATTTTGACATTAGTCAAAAGCATTGTCTAAACTTAAGATTAGCCAATTAGATTAGGTTCTAATCTCAATATAAGACAACCTTCAGACACTAGCCGTAACAAGTGGTATGTTTAGTTTTTTTTTTTATTTTAAAAATTTATATATATATAGAAAGTATAAATTAATAATAAACATGATATAAGTAAGTAATATTAAGCTCAAATCATGAACAATAATCATAATTTGTTTATGAATTAGGAAAAGCAAGATTATAATTTATATTGTTAAATTTGTTTTATAATTTAATTTGATAGTTTAATGCTAAAGACAATGGTAGAGTATATAATTTTAATAAAAAAATATAAATATAAATTTAATTTTATATTATAATGAAGATCAAAGCTTGATTGTTTAAATAGTTATATGAAAATAAGATAATACATAGTTAATAAATATTAATAATGTAATTAATGGTCAAACTGCAAGATAATAATAACACCAATATTTTTCATTGAGCATGTCACTGATATAAGATGTATAAATTATTTTAAATCAGATTAAAAAGTTGTAAATAGAGTAGTAGTGTAAGAATACAAATAGTATTTATCTAACTTAGGATTTTTGTACTATTTATTTTTTTATGTGTTTTAATTTTAACAAACAATTATTTTATACAATTATTAATATTTTAAATGCTTAAATTAAATATTAATATTTAAATTATTTTATTTTTAGAAACAATGGAGGTCGTGAATTTCTCTCTGGCTCTTTAGCTGGAGTAACATCACAAACTTTAACTTATCCATTAGATTTGGCAAGAGCAAGAATGGCGGTTTCTACTAAATCTGATTACGCATCCTTGGGAGATGTAAAGTGTTTATTTGTTTATATTCAATAAATTTAATATACCTATGTAAGAGTAGTCAATTATATATTTAGTTACTACTGTTATAGGACATAATGAACAATAAGAAATGCACATAATATTATATAATTGTATTATAACATATATTTTATAATAATATTTGCAAAGAAATTATTAATTGAGCTCATGGATTAACAGTTATACAATACAAATTATTTAGGTGTTTAGAAAGACCTACCAAATTGAAGGTATTAAAGGTTTTTATAGAGGATACGTACCAACCATTCTTGGTATTATACCTTATGCTGGCACAAGTTTCTTTACATATGGCTCATTGAAGTCATTCGTTAAAGGTAATTTTTATAAAATATATTTTTATTAAAAAAAAATTTACAAGTTAAATTTATTACAATAGAAAAACATGGATATGAAAATACTATTATAAATTTGGCATGTGGTGCAGTGGCAGGTATGGCTGGCCAATCATCTTCTTACCCTCTAGATATAATTAGAAGAAAGATGCAAACATCAATTATTACTGGGAAAAATTATACCAATCTCAGAACAACTTTTGTACTGATTTATAAGTAAAATATTAATTTTTTATTAAATTGACAATTTAACAGTTGTTATTATAAATATTTTATATTTCTTTTAGAACTGAAGGCATTAAACAAGGGTTTTTCAAAGGTTTGAGTATGAATTGGATCAAAGGACCAATTGCGACTGGTATAAGTTTTGCTACATACGATTTTGCAAGGAAATATTTAAAAAATGTTTAGTTTTTAATATTATTTTTTTACCATTAACATGCCTAATTTTACCATATTGTTACCATTAGATAATATTTTATTTTATTTGTTTGAAGCCATGTATTTTGTAGTTATTAAAATGGACATTAAACATAATAATTATTTAAAATTCTTTTAATATCTAGTCAAATCATTATAATTTGATGAGAAAGTCTGAATTTTACTCTTAATAATTAATTATAAGATTATAATAATTTCTTTAACTCAGTGATTAGAAAGAATGCGTTCAAAGAAAATCATTCTTTTAATTTTGTTCCATTCTTAAGGGCTTATCGGGAATATAGTTGTTCCTTTTTCATGTTTAGGAACGTATTGGAATTTTGTTCACTTTTTAGAGGAATATGAACAATTTTTTTCGTTTCTTTCTTCGTTAATTTATTTTTAAATAAAAGTAATTAAATAATTTTTAGAATTATAAAAAAAAAAATTAAAACTTCTTTAGAAATTTAGCAAACACAAAGAGCTAAAAATAACTTTTTTTTTTCTACGAAATTATTGATAATGTTTACAAAATGTTCATTCTATCGTGGCAGAGCCTTATAAGTGGTTAGAAAAGTGGTTGGAAAAACCTTTTGACGATACGGGTAGGTATTATTTATATATTTATTTACATACATAATTGGTAATTTATTATATTTTCTATATTTAAAGTGTACCTACAGGCTAGGGCTAATACGATGTCTCTTCTTCAGTACAATCATTTGTCTGCCGAGTGCTGTTTAATAAATTATTTTCATGTTATTTTCACTATTTATTTTATTATTTATTACTTATTAATAATTATGTCAAAAAAATGCATGAGTTCAATTTCTATTTCATGTATTGGTATACCATAGATAGGAGTTGAAAAATATTTTTTTTTATCAAATTTTTGATGGACATAATACATATTATAAAATAATTAAAATCGAAGCAAGTATTATAAAATTAACTTGTATGGAATAAACAAATTTAAAAATAAAAACAAAACAACCATACCTTATAAAATTAATTATATATAATTGATTATATTGATAAAATTTTAAAATTTGAAGAACGAAAAATGTTCCTTATTTAGGAACAAGGAAAGGAATTAGTTCTTTTCTTCAAGACAGGAACGGTAAAAGATTTAGTTCCTTTTTAACAAGATGAACATGAATTAGAATGAGGTCCTTTTTTAAAGAAACTTTCTAAGCACTGATTTAACTGTAAAATTAAAAATTATGTAACAATGTAATATTTCTACTTTATTATTGAGTTTTTTTATTGTTAAATATATTGTGATAAATAATTTAATATATTATTTTTGGATAAAACAGCTTATTAAAACTGTTTATTGCTTTATGTGTTTTTAAATAAGAATATTTGTTTTGTATATTAACTTGTTAAATATGATATTGTTAATGTATTTGGAAGGAGTACTTGAAAATGTTGACAAATGTAATTGATAATATTTTATTATATAATAAAACAAAATTAAATTTAATTGCATGTTGCTCATATTTATGTTAGGGAGTATTTATTCTCAAAAATGTTTGTTTTAATTCAATTTCTTTTAATATTTAAATAGTTAATAGTCATAGATTCTATATTTTTTTCATTTTACATATGAATTCTCATAAATTTAAATTGTTTGTAATTTAAAAAGTGATTTGAAAAAATATATGGTTATTAATATTAATATTCCTTCCGCTATACATATTTTTATCATATGAATATTACATATTCATTAATTAATATTACATTTTGTAATATTTGAAATCAATTTTTACATATTGACAATAATTTTTTATAGTAGAAGTTACAACTTTTACTTACTTATTGTTGTGAATGAATTGAATTAGCTTATTATTCTTTACATTCTCGAGCTAGTTCATTCATTCTATTGTTAACACTGCTGAATTCTGAAAATAATAATCATTTTTTAGTGTTAATGATTTTGACAATAATTATAAACAAATAAATGTAGTTTTAAGACTGATTGAAATTATATAATTTTGACTACTTAAATTGCCTTGACATTTTTAATTATTTATAAGCATATTAAATTTTTAGAATTTTTTTTTTAATTATAAAATAAATAATAGTAATTATTATTTAGATGTTACATTTTTGAGAACTATATGATTATTTATAAAATATATGAGATTTGAATACATAAATTTTAAATAAAAATATTTGTAATTGTACTGAATATGTTGGTATGCTGACCAATATTTGATTGAAATTTATTAATAACTTTTTTAATAAATAAATGTATTAATAACTTTTAACTATATTGGGTTCTGTTGGATAAGTGGTAAAAATATATAATTATATTTGTAGTGAAAGATTATTTTAACAAAGAATATTCTTTTGTTAAAAGTTAACTGATTTTAGTTCACATATGTTACATATGATTAGAATGGTAATGATCATAGGCGGACATTTGGTTGAATTTTTTTGGGGAGCTATAATAATTCAATGTAAAATAACCCGCAGGAGCTTCGCCCCCACACCTCCTTCCCATACACAAGTAAAATTTATTACCATTAAAAATATAGATATGTTTAAATTATATTTAAAAAACACTAAATAATGTATATTTAAAAATAATTAATATTTTATTTTAATGAGAAATAACTATTTGTATTAGCAAAGGTACTCAAAATATCATCGCTTTTTATATTTTTTGATATATCATTTTCAATATATAGTATTGAAAGTTTGCTGAACTTATCTTGAACCAACAATGTCCTTTACCAAGTTTATATTTTTTTCATTGCACTGAAACTTCTTTCGCAAGTAGCCAAACTATATAATTGGTATTGTTAATGCTATTGTAAATAGTTTTTTATTATTTCTTATTTTACGATTTTCAAAAAAAATGAACAGATAATTATAAATAAATTATAAAAACAACAAATAAAATTTCTAACAGTTTTTTTTTTTTTTTGGGGGGGGGGGGGCTATTAGAATATTTGGGGGGGATCTAAGTCCCCCCAATATCAGCCTATAGTAATGATCTCTAGCTGATTCAGTATTAAAAATATATAAATATATATCTTTAATATGTATAACTTATAAAGTTATACAATTTATACCAGCAATTTTTTACTTAAAAATACTAAAAACAAAACAGATTATTGATAAAAATTTAATTATATTTATTATTTGATAATGTGGTCTATAATTCATGTATTTAATGTTTTTGTTTTACAAGAAATTAACACACTATAGGCTAGACTAGTTGCTAGAGTGATTCAATGGTTATTTATAGGATGCAGATTTATATGTGTGATATTTGTCATGATTGATGTTGACAGGGCCACAATTAGAAATAAATTAGATGGGGGTTATAAGCTAATCATTTGTGTTGTTCTAATTTTATTATAATATTGTATATATAATTTATTACCTATAGTATAAAATTCATAATATTTTAATACTAATATTTACAATTAAACATTTTTATTGCTAAATTTTAAAATAGTTATTAAATTTAATTATATACACTTAATTCGTAAAATGTTTATATGACAAACTCTAAGTTTCTTTGTTTTCCATTTGAAAAACGATTAATACCGGCTTCTGGACCTACAACAATATTCCTATGTAGGTACACTTAATAGTGCTAGGCCAGTAAATCGGTCTTCTCCAGTTGCATAATTTAGGTCATTTTTATTATTTTTAGCATCGAAAAAGTATTTTTCGGTGTTGTCGTTGCTACTGGTAATAATTCTAGAACTTTTAAGAAAAATTAAATATTTGGACAAACATTTTAGTCGCAGTTAGAATACACTTCAAGTATTTCAGAAGACCTTTCTAATATTGCTTTATCATACCATTTCCTATTCCAATTTTAATTCGTTTGAAAGTACAACTAAATCTAAAAACTCTGAGTATAATTCGAAATTACTTACTTCTAATTCAGAATTAGGGTTTTTACTGGAAAGCAGGGGCGTACATAGGGGGGGGGGGGGGATATGGGTGTTGAACACCCTCCATCGACCGTATTTTATGGTATTTCATCAAATTGCAAACTTAATTACAGTATAATTTAACTAAACGTAGGTATATGTAAATATAATCATTTTCATTAATATAATAATTTATATAAATACATGGTATTTATAAATGTATGGAGTAGGGGGTGGCAGAACCCCCACTTATTATAAATCTATTCAATTTTAAAACACCCCCGTTAAATGAATCCTGGATACGCTACTGCTGGGAAGTAAAGAGTATAGCGAAGATATTATTTTTTTATGGTCAGTGAAGCATTAATTTTCATCAAATTTCCATTTATTTACAAATAGTTTATGCTTAAATTCGTTACTTATAGTTTGATTCAAATATTACCCAGTATCAAAACTATTCTAATTTGAGGTAGATGTTTCAATATTGAACTTTGAACATGAACTTGATGTATGCGGTGTACCTTCGATTTTATTTTCCAATAAATTTAATTTACGATTTTTAATAAAGAAACTCATCATAGTGTTTTGTCTTTTTATTATTTCGAATAAATTACTTAAAATTTAAATAAAATTTAATAATTACAATTGTAATTTTAACACTTCGTAAACCATGACATAACACGAAAAAATTTCAGGGGGGGGATGAACCCCCAAAACCATCCCCTAGTTATGGTCTTGGATGGTAATTGAATGATTATTCTATAGAAATATGTTTCAGGTCTAAGTGAATGTTTTATGCTATGGTTGATACTACATATTTTTTAATTTTTTATGTTATATATTTTTATACTTATGCTAAATATACTTATAATTTGAAAAAAAATCATCGTTATCACCCTTAAATTCGGATAAAAATATATTAAAAATTACTAGTCGTACGTTACGACAGCCTTGGCATTGTCAATATTACTGCGGAAAAATTTAAAGAAGTTCTAGGGGAGATTGGCATACAAATCAAGAAAAAGATTGAACATGTACTTAGCAAAAATCGTGGTTTGAAGATAATTGATGCAATTGCAAACGTTCACAATGGCAGTGACACAAATTTGCCATGATTTTGGTCCTGTTAAATTAGAAGCTTTTAAATTTGCATTTATAATGTGTTGACATGGAAGGTCCTTTAACTGCTATCAGAACACTATGCATCACAATCGACGTCGATATACTTTAGAAAATTTAAAAAAAATTTACGATTGCCCATTATTTTGTTGACGATGAGGATCCTATACTCCAATAATAATAGAAATATTATAATTAATAATCTAACGTATAGTTTAAATGTATTATTTTGTACCTAATCTATAGTTTTTATTCAAAATTACATTTTTTATTATACATACTTTGTATTTTTCATATTAGATTTATATGTATATCCTTTTTAATTTTAAATACATAAAAATCCATACCCTAGTTACTTTTAATATGTTTAAACATTTAAATCATATCTATCAACAATTTTTTAATGTAGTATTTATCAAATTTTTTTATACTTAGTTATTAGGTGAAACAATTATATTCGTATGAAAATCATTGCATTTTAGTATTTTGGGTCAAGAGTGTCTAACTTTCTAGAAAAAGGAAGATAAACGACAACGTGGTCGAGTGGCATAAGTCAGCTATCTAATACTAACACGCAGAATCACCGGTTCTAACCCGGCCTTCGAATGTTTCGCTTTCCTGGTGGAAGACGATCGTTTCGTAAAAAGGGACCGCCCACCATCACCTACACTACTATTTACTAACTTAGCAGTTAGTGAAAAAAAAAATGTCAAGACAAAAAAAAACATTTGATATATTGATGTCTTAAAAAAAAAAAAAATAATGTTATACAGTAAAACTTCCGTTAAATGTGACCTCTATGTAACAATCACTTTTTTGTTCCCGTCGTGTGTTATGGGAAAAATACATTAACACATCTTTTTAGCGAGCACTCTAATTAACGGGAAAATTTTAAAATATGTCAAATGAATGATGGAAAATTGGAAAAATTTTAAATTATTTTTGATTGTTTATCTTAACGAACATTTATGATGTTGATAATGTGATGACAATTGTTTGTGACTGTATATTTTATCATGTTTCATTAATGTTCAGTGTATAAAATGTTTCGAAGTGCGCGTAGTTTCAATGAAATTCAAATGAAAATATGGAAAAAATAAAACTGTTTAGTTTTTACCAAAAATAAAAAGTTTATTTAAATATTAATTAATTAAGGTGACATAGATGATAATTCATCATTGATAAATATGTTAAAAACCGCAGAGATTTATTTTGAAAAAAATTGTTCAAATAATAAAATTAATTTAAAACAAATTAATATAACTAAATTTTTTTAATTTTAAAATGTACCCACGTTATATCGTAAATCATATTTACATTTTTTAGTACTCATATTGATATGCGTTTTTTATTTGGTATTTTATTTATGAAATTTGCATGCAGTCTATATAGCGATCACTATCTATTGGTTATTATAAATGTATTGAGCTTCTATTACCGATCATAATTGTAGGAGGGGCACCTCTAAATAACGTTTATTATTTCCAGTTCTTTCGGTGATCGTTATATGGAAGTTCTACTGTATTTGTATTTAAGCCATTGAAATACCTACTTATTTATATATATATATAGTGTACATCTAAACTTTCATTCCATGGTAGATTATATATTTACTATTGTTTATTCAACTATTACTTATCTTTTTGAAATTCAATACGCTTGAGATATTGAGTACATTATTAAATTTTGATTTTACACTCAATATTTTATTTACTTAAATTTTAATATTCACCGTTATGAATATTCTATAGCAAGTTTTTTTTTATTTCATTGAGTATGTATTATCATTTATTAATTATATAGATTTTACAGAATAATATAGATTTTAATACTTTATAAATATATAATATAAAGATACTTTTTTTAAACAAGGAACGGATGTGAACTGTTTACCATAATATTTCCATATAAACTCTGTATCGTATAGTAATACATTGGTTTTCAACCTTTGTATGTAAGAAAAATAAGATTAATTGCCAATTTTTTATGGAACCTTTTTGAAAATTATCAGGAAAATACATTCTATTAACCATATAAAATATTATTGAATATTGAACTCCTCTCCTTAATTTTTTTAGTTACCATTAGGCATAGGCGTGTCCAGACCTTCATGGCTGGGGAGGCTAGTTATAAAATTTAAATTTTTTACTTATTACAGCGATCTATAATCTATATCTATATTTGTGACTTATTTTTGTTGTATGGAAATTATATAGCACCTGGAATTTTTTTACCCCGTCAAATTAAAGATTTTCTCGATTTTAAAATGGGTTTCCTATACTATTACAACTATGAAATAATAAATAAGGCCTATTAACTAATGTCCTACTTATTTATTTTTTATAAATATTTTATCAACTATACATCAACCTACTATACACATCTTATTACAGTTATTACAAAATAAATAGTTATTTATTAGTTTGGTTAAACAATTAATTTATAAAAATATTACAAATAATAAAATTCAATAAATTTAAAATTTAAATTCAACTTCTACCTAAAATTACCTATTGTTACTGTTTTAGCCACGGATATAGATACTATATATTCGTGGTTTCACCATTATAAGCTAAGAGGCCAAAAACGTCGCTGAGGAGGCCGGTGCCCACACTGCCTCCCCCGTAGACAAACATATGCCAATAGGTAACAATCAAATCTATTACTCTTCATATACTCATATTACTTATAGTTAATTAAGTATAAGTTATAATGTTAGGTGCATTTTATAAAAAATAATAAAATAAAAAAATAATAAAATTTCATTTAGTCGATAATTTTACCATCGAAACCTACTTTACGGAAATAGTGATCACTGATTGTCAATTTAATATTTTCAAAAAATTATTTTTAATTATTAAACAACGTTCTATAGATGACATTTTTAATTCCGATTTCAAATAATGGGAAAAATTAACTTTTTTAGACGACTTGTTAGAAATATCGAGAAAAAAAATATTTAAAAACTGGGTTTATGCGGTCTATATAAAATTTCTCTCAAGTTATAAAAAATAAAATTTGATGGATTATACAGGACAGGATCACTATTTCCGTAGAGAGTATTTTGAGGGTAAAACGATCTTGACATTAGGTGTCTTATTAATATGACATTCACAATGTAGATAGTTGATACCAAGAAAAATGCAGGTTAATAATTTATCTCAAATAACTTTAAATCTTTTAATCGTTTTCGTGAGTGTCCACTAATTAAGTATATTTATAGTTTAAAAATATCAAAATGCTTAATATGCATTTGTTTAATAAATCAAAAAATCAATGACTATTTCATACCAGTGGCGCAACCAGGGGGTGGACTCCGGGTCTGGACCCCCCCCCCCCTGGTACGTATAATAGTATATTAATATCATATTCTAGATATATATATATATATTATAATTTTTTATTATTTGTATATTAGTTTATTTTGTCAGACCCCCCCCCGCCCCCATGAAAAATTCCTGATTGCGCTACTGTTTCATACGGGTTTAGAATGTAAATAAAACTTTTTAATTTTTGTGTGAACCATTAAAAAATATTAGGGATTAATAGGTTTAGAAAAGCTGTTGTAAAAACATAGTATTTACAATGAAGCTAATTTAGTGAAACATGTAATAAATAGTAAATAGATATTCAAAATTATTCAAAATTGTTCAGGATCATATAAAATAAAAAGTTATAGTTATAACCTAAGCTTTTTAAGTCTTAAGTTGTAAAATGTATTAAATCATTTAATGACATTTTTTATGATTGCATTGATAAATATATTATTTAACAGTTTACACATTACATTAAAAACAAACGTTTCAGCACAAATAAAAAGAGGTGTATTTAATGTTGCTGAATGAGGGTTTCTAGAAAATTATTCAAATTTAATAAAAATGCTACAAAAAAGTACAAACATGCTGTAAAAACTATCAAAATGGTATTTAATTTTTTTTTTATATTGGGATCTTATATCTAATTACATTAGACATCTATACAGAATTAAGTATAAGTTATATATTATACACACACATTAATAATGAACAAATTTTTGGCTATTTTTTGAAGACATTTTTACAAATCGTATGCCTTTTTTTCATTCATTATATCTGTCATTACAATGGACATTTCTAACGGCTCTAACTGGGTCTCATGGGAGACCATTATCAAAAGATTATATTATTTTGAGGAAAGAGAATTTATAATATGTTACAAAACCAAATAAGGTATTTTTGTGGTTGTTTTAATGCACTTGGGAATTTGAGTTCAGAACGACAATTTCATAAATACAAATGACACGTATTTCAATGGGTATTTAACATTATAAAGTTGAACTTCTTCAGTTGTAGTATATTACTTTAAAATGAAGATTTTTACACAAATAATAAAATAAAAAATTAATTATAAAGTATAAAAAATTAGTGGATATAACGTCTCCCTGCAAACTGCGTTTGTTCAAGATTAATATAATGTTGAAAATAATAACTTAATTTTTAAATTTTGATACAAATCAGTCAAAATTTTTAAAATATTTAGTAATAAGTTAGATATTAAATTTATAATTTTTCTGGTGTGGTCCTATTTGAATATTTTCGGGTAAATTATTAAATTGTACTAGAGTGTGAACATATATATTAGATAAAATGTAGGATATACATTCTATCTTATCCACACTATCACTCACGTCCTAATTTATTTAGTACACGGAGAGCCTAACTCTACGGATAAAGATTTAATTATTGTGTTTTTCGTATAACATTTCAATGTCGAAATGTCAAATGTTATTTTAAACGATAAATTAATTAATAAAATGTTTATTTGCCTACAAATATTTTAAGTTTAAATATAACTTATACATTTTATAAAAGCCCATTTATATACGAGTAGAATGCAAGTTGGTAATTCAGAAATATAAAAAAAAAAAAATTAACATAAACATAAACTTGAACGAGTTCAACTATTAAGTGAACGTTCTTAACACTGATTAAATAATCAGGAAATGACTAAATCAAATAACTAACAAACAGCGATATTCAGTTAAAAAATGAAGCATTATAAGCAATGAATGAAGTTTTTTTGATAAATCAAAATTATAAAATATTACAAGTAATAAAACGGTAATTGACTGTAAACGATTACCAAAACGCATTTAAAAACATCGCGTCGGAATCACAAAATATATATTCTAAAAATAGCTAATGTGCAATACTTATATTTTATACTTTTTTTTTTTTTTTGTTACTATGGGAAGGATTACCAAATTATCTCTACTGGTATTGTTTTACAACGAAGTAGCATAATATTGATTAGGTGCTAACAATCAAATACATATTAATACATATAATAATTAGACTACATATTTGTAAGAGTACACTGTTTATTGAACTGGTTACAAAAATCCATTATTAATAAATTTATAATCCGATAGTTTTAATATAAAGTACTTACTTAATATGTATTTAAGAAATAAAACATACCAGAAATTAATAATTGAATTTGTTCTCGGGTCAATGTGAATATCTGTTCTTCCGACTTATTAGGTGTACTAGAAAACTGCAATGTCATTAAATATTCACCATCATTCCCTTTGGATAAATTAGCATAATTTAAGCGGCCAATTTGTAAAGATTCATTCTTCAAAACTTTGGTTATTTGTGATATGTTGTCTAAGTACACCTTACATAATGCAGAAGCATGTTCACGAGGTAACCCAATCTGAAAATATATAATAATAACCATAAATAAAAATGAGATTCATTGCTAGAATTATACAATTTTTAAAATTGTATTTTAAGATGCATTTAGAAATGTCAAAATTGATAGATTTATGTAATTCATTTTAACAAAATATAATGAAAAATCTTAAAGCTCAACATGTAAAACATTATAATTATGTAATTATAAATATTTATTTTACTTAATATGCAATTAAAAAAATATATAATAAATATTGCAAATAAATATATTAAGTTATTTTTCATTACTTTCATACGATTAAAAGCAATTATTATTTAACTAATTTAACGAAATATAACATATTTTTTCGGTAGTCAATAATAAAATATAAATACTAAATATTTGTAGATGAAAATAAACATAATTATTTTAATATACTTGTTGTAACTCGTTTGAGAGGTAATTTTGAGATACAGCATGGCAGGCAGAATTTTTTAAAATAAATGTTATAGCGGCAACACAAGCTTTACAATTTTCAACATCTAAAAATAAAAATATGGTTAAATGGTTATTAAATATTTAAAAAGTAAACTATAAATTACTGATTAGCATTAAATAAAATACAGATTAATAAGTAACACTAAAGTTTATAATAATAAAATAAAACGCGGACAATTTGAGAAATTACTAAAATTATAAGCACTGTAACTATTTATTTTGCAAATTAAATATAAGTATATTCAAATTTAATTTTAATCATAATACGAATTCTAAGTTATACGTGTTTTTATGCCAAGTATAAATTACTGCTAAATATGGTGTGTATACACATAAGGGCACAAATATATACATATATATTTATATGTACACATAGCCTAGTAATTAATTAATTAATTTCAATTTTTCAAGTCATGGTCATTGAATACTACTACTAAAATTTCACTATGATAAATCTTCATTAATGGCTTATGTATATAAAGTTTAGTTGTACGGGAATAAAATTATGTTAACTGTAGAAATGAATCGGTAAATAATGGTTTTACAAAGGAATGGAAATTTTATTTGACTATAAAAATCTTTTCTGTGGTAGAATTAATAAAATAATTCACGGCGAATGTAGATATCTACTATTTACAATTGGCAATTGTTCGGTAATTTTTATTTTATACCATCACTCTATAATGTATGAGATACTTACGTGCAGTATAGAATTCACCTAGGGCCTCGAAAATTCTAGAATAACCTCGATTACATGAAAAGGAAACATCCAAAAGGACGTTAAATATAGTGTTTCCCAAGTAGAAAAGAGCATCAAAGAACTGTTAAGTAAAGCCATAATAATAAAATCATAGTTTACACCAATACCTACGACAAGAACCACGTAGTGTTTTAAAAATTCTAAATTTATTTTATTTTCCGTTCTGTGTATTGTAACCAAAGAAAATCTAGAATATAAACATTTTTTTTTAAAGCGAGAGAGTTTCTCTGTATATTTATTATATAGTCATATATAGTCACTCGTCACTGAAAAGTACAACTGCACGAGTGAAAAATATCTACTTCACAATATCTATTTAATCGGAAGAATTCAAAAAAAAAAAAAAATCTTATTCATTTGTATTAAGGACTTAAATTTATTTTAAACAATATAACATGAAACCTTATAGTAACACCACAAAATAAATGAGTTCAGCTTACAAGTGTGTTAACTTATCATACATAACATTATATAAACCTAGCTATAATTTTAATATTTTTTTAAATACCTATCAGAGTCAAATTAAGTCATTAAGACTTGACCAATAACCACAGAAATAATATTAAAAGTTAAACAGAAAACAACAAGGGACATTTTGAAATGTAATCAAATTTTGGATAGAAATTATTTATAAAATACACAGTGAAAAAGCAACGGGAAAAAAATAACCTTAATTAAGTATAAACTCTAGAAATTAGGAATAAGTAAGACTTAAAACACATACATGCCAAAGATAGAATACATTTAACACGAATTTAAATTTTAGTTCAATGATGTGTTTTTTTTTTTTTAATATTTTTCAAATCTAAATTTCAAACAGAAATTTTTAAAGAAATACATTTGTGTTAATTATTTTCATCCAATAATAATGTTACTATGGCTTAAAATAGCAAAATACCATTTTGATATAATTAAATAATTCTAAATTTAAATGCTTTATAATTTTTATTTATCTCGTTAGTATTTTTTTCTTTTTATAAATTTATCTTAATAATATGTTAATATATTAGAAATATATTAATAATAATTAGATAGTGATAGTCAAATACATGAAAAATATTTTAAAAGCTAAATTTGAGACTTGTCTCAAATAAGCCTAGTTTATCATTGATATTTACCTTATTTGAAAAATAACTAATATGTGATTAATTTTTTTATACTGTATATATTATTTATATTTATAACTATGTAACAAATGTCTGAATATTTATATTATGTCATAAAGGCAACCAGAATGTTGGGCAGTTCTCTTTAATAAAAGTTGTTTCTCTCTTCACGTTTTTCATTGAAAAAAAAGCATATACAGTATAAACTCTATAGTATTAAAATTTAAAAATTAACTGTAAGTATAGGCCAAATAACCAATATTGTTTTCATACTTTATTATTCAATTGTATTTTTCTTCCTTAGTAAATCGAAGGTCTTATTGTAGTAAACTATTAACCACGTAAGTCACTAATATTCTTAAAATATAAACCATGTCATCTAAGTATTATTGTAAGAAAAAACAATTTAACTTACCCAGTTTGGCATCAGCCATAAGCTCCTTAGCTTTTTCAAACTAGAAAACAAAAACTGTCATTAATTATTCAGCATTGTATAATCGCTCACATAATAGGTTTTCTTAACGATTTATCAAATTCTGAGATCATATAGGAGCGGCGAAAAGTGTGATATATTGCAATACGTATAAGTTGTTAAACATTAAGCTACTTAAGAAAAATTTTTTTACAAGACATCAAGCAAAAATTAAAAATTATCAATTCTATCGTAAAGAATGATGGTTACCGACATCATCTTATATTTAATCAGTTAACGATATTATTCCATTAAAGAATGTCTGCTAAAGTCATAATCAAATTTATTAAGGTTTTCTGAAACATCGGACCAAAGTCTACGCACTTACATGGTCCATTACGTAAACATAAATGATATTATCTGAAATGTTTAGCGGGTGTGTCTTAAAAAGGTGAAAAATAAAAGGAGCTGAGAATTCTTTGTAACAATAAAAAAATAACTTTCTTACAAAAAAAAAGAGTGAATGTATATCTAATAATGAAGAATAATGCTTGTTTTCAAATCCCAATAGATTATTTTGAGGGAAAAATAACAAAAATATAAAAGTTTTTTGCGACCATCATAAATAAAACCAATCAAGATTAACGAGTTGCTTTGAATTAGTTACTTGTTTTTTTTTTTTTTATTAATCTGAATATGTTTTCAAAGTTTAAAACAATGGGATGCTTAAAAGTGATTTTACACCCCTGGTAATAATAATAATAAATAAAAAGACATAATAGCATAACGTTAATGTAATAATATAAACTTACGTTGAATGGTTCTCCTAGCAATAAATTCACTGTGCACTGGGCTAAAAGCTTCATTTTAATTGATGTCTGTAAAAAGAATAGAATTAGAATTTAAATTTGGAAACAATTTCTAAAATGAATTTCATAAAAGTATGGAAAATTTCAGCAAATATTAAAAATATATATATAAAAAAATCAATCAATTTGTAGATAATTTTCTTGGTAAAAATAAATATAATATATAAAAATACATTATATTTATTTATATTTATATTTACAGTAAACGGTAATTTACAGGGTAACAGTACATTGAATACACATAATATTAGAGACATTGATAATAGCACAAATTAATAGTTCACAGTATTAAGTAGTATTAACAGTATTATTAACAGAACAGAAAGTAAATAGTAAGATCATTAAAAAGTTACTTGAAAGTTGTGTGTATATACATAGTTATATATACATTGGATACAATTTAAATTTAACACTGCCAAAATGATTTCGTCGAATGGAACAGAATATTTATTGAAAAATTAACTAAATTTCAATCGAAATATTCATATATTTATGAAAAATGTGTATAATAAGGTATAATACTTTAGTACATTCTTACCATCCTCGAAAGTGCATTGATCTGAACCAATAACCATTCTGGGCAGTCACCACCTCCACAAAATTTGAATTTCTATTTCAACACACAACAAAATCTATTATAATAACCACCTAAGGCATGTTTTATTATTTCAAGCGAGTGTTGGGATGCGCGCTTAAGCATCCATATAATCTACACGAAACGTGGCTGACAGCGATTAACAACATGGTTAGATTAATTACAAGTAGAAGTATTGTTTTACTCACCATTGTGACACGTTAATGACAAATATCACGAAAAAGGCTTCCCAAAAGACCTACGAAAGAAAAATTAGTTATTTAGTGGGTGAACAAAATATAATACAATAATATTGTTTTTTATTTTTCATTTTCTTTGGACACATAATAATAAAATAACGTATCGTATTGCCATACAAGCTCTGTAGAACCTTTTGCCAAAATTCATGAACAGAAAGGGAGACTGAGAGGTTCGGGTTATGTAATACAATAACCTAAGGATGTGTATATAGCGTCATGAACAAGATTAAAATGGGAATCGGTACCGATCCCAGAGTTAATCATCGCGATCACCTGGTGTGTCCAAACTATAGAACATGTACATATAATGTAAGGGTTATAAGGTCTATAAATACACGTAGCTTCTGTAGAAAATATGGGCATTCGCAACTGGACGCCATGGCAATCACGGACGCAAGAACAAAGTTATACCTAATAGGAGTCGCCTATTTTGTACAGGTATTTATTTATTTTTGTATTAACATGGGCATTTTTTAATTTAAATTACATTTTATAAAATATATGGCATTAGAATTATTTTGTATTACAGTACAATAAACAAAATAAATAAGTAATGATTAATGACAGTAATTATAATAAAAGAAAAATATGGATCCAGATAGATAAATTTATAATTTAAAACAACAGAAATCATAATAATCTGAATATGTGACCATGCACAAAGAAAGGGACTTCCTAAGGGTAGGTTGACCAACATTTTTTTACTAAATTGGGGTAAAATTTACGGGAGAATCAAAAGTACTACTAAAAAAGTATAAAATATTGTGAAAATACTAATTTGTTCTTGCTATATCAAGTACAATAAATATACATTAAAAACATACAATGGATAGGTGTATTGAAAGTAATAATTTTAATTTCAAGTTAAAAAGATTAATAATCGAATGATTTTTTTGATTTTATATCTTAAATACTTTTTATAGTAATTTATACATATATTGCGATAAATTTATTATTATTATATTATATATTAAGTATTATGAAATATTATTGGAGCTTATAAGTTATTATACTAAATAAGTTCATATTTCAACTAAAAATAACAAATGTAACTTGAAATGTATTATTCTTTTTAAAAATTAAAATTAATAGAAATTAATTAAAAGAAAGGGAATATTATATGGAATCCTGTTTTAGTAATAGAACACCATATGTTAAATTGTATTTCAATTCCTTGGAATATTTATTACAATCACATTCTTTACGAACATTTTACAACACGAAATCTTGGAATTCGGTATGAATAGAGTGAAAAACGACTCCCATGTTTACAAAACAAGATTCACGACAAAATGTTTTATTGAAGCTTTAAATACGACACCACTAAATTGCTCCATAATGTACTTAATCCACAAAAAAAAAAAAAAAAATTAAACCAATAATTTTTACAGCTTGTCAATGGTGATACAAGAATATCACGAGCCGATATCAGTGCAGTTTTGGGTGAAAACGAAGATCCTAATTTTTGGCCTTCAAGGGGTCGAAGAAATGGCCCTGAACCTAAATTTAAACAATACTTAGAAAAAAAATACAATATGAATTCTCTACATGGTATACAAATCATACTTATATACTTTTATGAATAATTAATATAATAAGTTTGGCAATCTGGTTTTTAATATTTTTAATATACTGTACTATACGTACAGTTTATCATAAAATATATTAAAAATTAACTCAATATACTCATTAATGATGTATAATAATGACTTGGAGATAATTATTTTATGATGTAAATAAGGATACTTCCGATAGTTAGTACAAGTAGTAAGTAGTAACAAGTAGTACAAGTAGTAAATATGTATAACATTTTTGAGAATAAAATGTAAATATTTAGAAGTTCAGCATAATCATAAATCAAATGATTATATATTGTTTAATGTTATTGTGTACATATAATATATATAGTCAAGGCCGTATCTCGAAGGGGTCAAGGGTGTCTGGACCCCCCCCCCCCCCCCCGGGAAATTTCTTCAATATTTTACAAATGTTTAAAATAATTATTTATTTTTATTAGCAACATATGTTTTCAGTCAAAAATGACTAAGATCCAATTAATCATTGACTGTTTTTAAATATTTTTATAGCGTCTAATAATAATAATCACAGACTTCTAACCAACGCGCGTAGTATATAGAAATCTGACGTGATAAGATGTCAAAGTAATTTTGTTTATTTGATTTTATTATATTTTAATAAAAGAAGACTAATAAGTCTTATTTTTAACCAAATATCAAAAGTCAAAATCTAAATTCAAAAAAATTACAATATACATGTTTTGCCTTCCCCCCCCCTCCCCCGAAAAAATTTCTAGATACGGCCTAACATATAGTATACAAATTAATTATATGATAAAATATTGATGAATAAGATATATTGCACACGCTCAGGCCCTGATTTATGCAAGTGCAGATGGAGCACTTGCACTTAGTCCCCAATTTTTGGGACCCCCCCCCCCGATCTCTGTAAGTTTTAGAAAATTGTATTTTAAATTAATTCCACAAACTTTTATTTTGTAAAATGTAATACTAATTTTCAATGTTTAGAGTTCAGTATATTTTTATAATTAAATTGTCAGTTGAATTTTGGTTATTTTTGTCATTCCACATCCCAGATTTAATCAGTTACCATCACATTAAAATAATAATAGAAAATTGTGTGAACATCGGAAATATTTGATACCTAATAACTATTTATAGATTTATATGAGCCCAGTATTTACAGATTTACTCGTTGTTGGTGACACTATGAGTATTTCGTTCACACAAATAACATTTTTATTTGATTTTGAAATTGTATGTTTTTTGAGGTATTCAACACTTTTAACATATGAATATTTTATTTTATTATCAATATCCCCCTTTCTATGTACATTTTTTCTAGAACATTTTTTTGACTTTGAGGTCCCAAAAAAAATTTTGCACTTGGTCTTAATTTTATGAAATCATGCCTTGCACACGTTATGTTGTAAATAAAAAATTTAAAATATCATAAAAAAACTCGATTTTTTTTTACAAAAGTGATTGAAAAATTTAACTAAGTCATAATTTTTTATGGATCTCAACTGAAATAAGTGTATGATGTATTTTGAAGTGATAGATTATTTTACAAACATTTTCTTAAATTATCAACCATCATGTTCTAGACATATAAATTATTTACTAACACTACTATATGAAATATTTTAAAGTAAGAATTATAAACAGGGAACACATATTTTTATTATAAATACAACAAAATATTTGAACTTAAACTTTCAAATATAGAATATAATTAAATAAATAATAATATACTAGATATAAGAAACAGTTAATGTTATAGAAGTTTTGTACAATTTGATTATTTTTTTTTATTCTTCTTTAACTCTTGCTTTTTGTATCATCTACAAGAGTTTCGAATGCTATCGAACAACATCTCCACATGGACCAGTTTGAAGTCAGAATAATTTGTTTATTGTTAGACATTTTTTAAAACAGGATAAGATTAAATAAAAATGAATAAAATACAACATCACTTTTAAGATAATTAATATTTTAAAGATTAATTAATATAATATTATACATATATATATATATATATATATATATTATATTATTATAAAGATATTCTATTTTGTAAATATTTAATTTTAACTATCAAAATCTTTTGTTGTCAAAAGTAAATTGAAATAATTTGAAAATTGAAAAAACATAAAAACTAAAACAAATCTATATAAAGTGGTGCTACAATAATACGTGATTCTAATTACTCTAATTCAATAAACGTAATTATCAACATGAGCTAAATATTATCTGTAATAGAGCCCATACAAATAATTGAAATTTAAATATTATCCATAAATGTATTCATTCATTTAAATCCATAAACGTATAAAATAAAAATTAAACACAACTCACCAAATAATGTTATTAATAATTGTAGAATGAAATATTAAAATAATTTATCTAAACATTTTGCTAAAATTCCAAACAATTTAAAAATCATTTTTAAGACTACTAACAATTTAATCAAACATATAAAAAATAGAACTAAACATTTCACGAAGGCCTCCATTCTTTTAAAAATGCTCGTGTATATAAACTTAAATATAATTATAATACATTTTAAATACGTAACAACATGTTTCTTAAATAAAATTAAAAAATATTGCCCTTAGTTTAAACTTCGCTAAAAATGTTTTAGAAAATAACAATATTATGCATTTTGAAATCGATGCAGACTTAGAAATATAAAATAATTAAATTAATATTTATATTAATTCAGTTTTAGAAAAATTAAACATACACAACAAAATGGAGAAAAAGTATTTCAATAATATATTAAATGTATAAACAGATTTTAAAAATAATATGTACCTTATATTATGACATTTAAGATAATAACAAATATTAAAAATTAAAGTATTTATATTTCTTAACACATATATATATATATATATATATGTCTAACAATAACTAATTTTAAATAATCTCTCTTATTAAAATAAATTATCTCTATCTAAAACCACCAATTTTTTTTAATGTAAATTGCTTCTTATATTTTTTCATTCTTAGTCACTATTTTATTTATTTTGTATATACTTGAAAGATGAATTTTTAATTTGAAACCGGTCGTACTTTACAAATATAATAATACTTCAGGCTAAGCATTAATTAATTTACATATATATATATATATATATATATATATATACATATAAACTATTTTTTATTTATTAATTAGAAAATTTTAAAAAGTACAAGATCATAGGCATTGTCAAATTGTAAAATAAAATAATTGTAAACGAATACTTTATAAAAAATGTTAGTTACTAATAAATTTTTACGTTTGAAGGAAATTTAGAAAAGCCACTTTATGTCGAAGAACCAATGTGGTTAACAATTGATAGAAGAGCTGACGGAGATGATGACTATTTTTGGGTAACTAGAGGTCGAAGAGGAAGTAGTTGGAAGCAACCTACAGGAATAAAACTACCAACAAAATCAAATTATGGTTATAGAGACGAGTCTGATAACAAAATTCAGTAAAAACTTGTTGTTTCTAAATTACAATAAATCATGTAGTATTTATAATTTCTATAGTTAATTAAAAAAACGTTTATTGATTTATTAATTTTTATAGTTTTATAATTTTATCGAGGTACAAAAATAGAACAAATTGTCCTCTTTTTTCCTAACAAAAATAATTCCAACATATTTAAACAAATCGTATTAAACTTAATAGTCTGTATGTGTGTTATTTTTCAACAGTTTAACGGTGTATGAATGTATTTAATGACACAACAATATCCTATTGAAAGAATAATAACCATACGGTTAAATACGTTATAAAATAATACTACCATGTTTTTATTCGTATATAAGAGTGTGGATGAGCATTACTATAAAAATTAAATGACAACGCGTGAGACACGTCACGCCTACTTGTTGCAAAAATATTACAGCGCCACCCATCGTATTTGAGCAGTATATATCTTAAAGCGCTCTCTTGATATTTCTTATAAGCTGATCTGGTAGTGGAAGCTACCTAGTAGCGATAACTGTAGCTGTAGGGATCCCAACGCAATAATACAGGTAAGGTATAACTTACTATTATTAATATATTTTATATATATATTCACAATACGATTTAGAAATTAATCATTTTATAGACTATTTTCAAAATAAAAAGTTACCAACTAGTCTTATAAATGAAATATACTTATTTCACTCAAAATTTTAAAAATTATAAATAATACGTAACAATATGACATGACAATATTTTATAATATTCTAGCTCATGAAAAAAAAAATATTGTAACGAATAAATATGTAAAAAACTTTAAAGGGTATGTAAAATTTAATATTTATACTAAACGGATTCCCATTGATACAACATTATATATATTATAATCAGTCGGTAAATTAAATATAGATCGTTTAATAGTGGTCATGTCGAAATTTTAGATTAAATAATAATATGTAAGTTGATCGCAAACAGAGAATTAATTTAACATTGTTTAGTGTTAGTTGTTAGTTAGTTTTGTTAGTTAACATTTAACCTCGATGATTATTATGTTCAAAAAATAATATTGAGAGTAACTATGTTTATATAAATATGGTAAAGAATTTTTTTTGAAAATTATTGTTTTAATAGATTTTTATCAGGACGTTATTAAAAGAAATGCAAGTAATAAAATCAAATATGTGTAAAATTTACAATTTATGAGAATAATGCAAGGAGTTGTTAAGCTTTTTTAATAAGCTAAAATATTAAAAAAAAACAAAGTACAAAAAATATATAATATAATAAAATACTAGGTGATACTAAATTCAAGACTGTTATAATCAAATAATATATAATTTTAAATTATTGAAGAATCGTTAAGGTATTTTACTTAATGTATAAATTAAATTTTATTAAATCATTTTTAAAACGATTATAAAAAAAATTAATATTTATTTGACTTAGACAATTCAGATTATAGTTATATCTGAAGAAAGTAATTTCTTTGGACCTTGTTTATTTATTATTTTAGTTTTCCAACAGACACCAATAGAAATAAAATGCCAACCCTCGGTTTGGACGAATGTATTTAAACTAATAACTATTAAATATAAATATATCATTCAATGAGATCATATTTTAAAAGTTCTCATATAAAATTACAAAAAAACCTTATTAAAACTGTATAATATCCTTAAACTATGGAATAATAAGTAAAAATTAATTACATTTATATTTTGTATTTAAGTATTATATGATTCAATATTTGTTAACAATTTATTTTGTATAATTACTTATAATGACGATAAATTAATAAAAAAAAAATGTATATATATGGGCAAATAAGGATAATTTTATAAGACTAAAATAACTTAATATTGAGAAGGATAGTTGTTTATAATGAAAGAATGATAAAATCAAATAAAATAAAGATATTTTATACTTTACGATTAGAGCATATGATATCTATGAAATTAATAATTCTACATGTATGTATATACAGTCAGTGGCGTATACATAAATTTTGATCATTTACAAACAAATCATAATTTTTATTTTCTTTATTTTTTTCTTTCGTTTCTAATGCCCTCACACTAAGAACATTATTTAATACAATTTAAAAAAGGTCTAAGGGGACTAGGGGAGACCCCCCACATCCCCCCTTGTATGTACCACTGCATAAAAAAGTATATTTTTCAGACGAAAAGAAAAGAACAAAATATTTTACTAGTCGGATTAATTATTAACTTTAATTTTCACAATAATAGAGAATGCAAATATCAAGGGGAATTAAAAGTTTTTATTATACTATATAAAATAGTTAATTTAATTAAATTTAAAACCAATGACAATTAATGAAAAGTATTTACTTTTATTGAAATATGTTTATAGTGATTTTAATAAAAACTAAAAGTATAATATTTTATGAAAACAAAGTTGTAACAATTTTTAAGTTTATTAGTATAAATTATTTACATATATATCTAAGCACTATATTTATATGTAATATTTTAAAATGTATTTTTGAACATTATATTTTGATAACTAATCACGTAAAAGCCATAGAGACTTGTTTTGTGATTCACTTTTGAACATTTGGTTTTAAAAAAATGGTTTAGGGTAAGCTTAAGAAAATTCACAAGTATATGAAAAATTGCTCAAAAAGTAGCTTTTTTTTTAACCAAAAACAATTTATATTTTGTTAAAATCACAAGTTTTGCTTATTTTATAAGAAGTATACTAAAAAAATTTTAATTTTAATTTTTTGAAATAACTGTATTTTTTTTTAATTATCATTGAATATTAATATTTTTTCCGTGTTTTTCCACATAACTGTTATGTTACGTTTCCAAAAATCAGTTACTCTAATAAAATTATAACATAAAATTGTATTAAATGATTTATAAATCGCGTTCTGTGTTCTATTTGTGCATTAAATATTTTTGTACAGAAAATGAATTATCGATAAATTAAGAATAAATGGATAAAATATTTAAAAATTCAAAACTAAAATCATTGAATGATATTTGTAATAATTTTTAGTTACTATTCTATTACTTACCATCCTAATAATATAAAACTAATTTTCATTGTTGACGATAGTAATAATAATGAAAAAATACATGATTTTCGTGTCTTAATGGAAATTTCATTGTAATAGTAAGTCTACTAGAGTTTTAAATGTAAAGAAATGTAATAACTAATTACACTAAGTAAAACTTGCAAGTATGTTTACCAGATTAAAGAAAATTATTAATTGAAACATATTTAATAGTTGTTCTAAATATTTTTAAAACGTGTAATTAGTACATGAGATCAGGTTTTTCAAGAATATACAATACTATTAGAAATATAAATGCTAACTGGTGATACTATTGTACTATAGCATATTTCATTCAGTGGTATTTAAGTAAAATGCGTTTAAATTAAGGTTATTTAATTTTATTTATTTATTGAGCTTATTTTATTGTCTGGAAATATTTCAATATATTTTAATATTGAATTAAATACTTAACACGTAAATATCTTCCATTAATTAAACAAATATAATATTTTTGTAACATTGAAATTTAAAATCTAAAAACTCGGTGATTTGTTAAATTAGGAAAGACTCTTCTTTATCTAAATCATATTAATAATGAAACCACATTTTACTAAAGGTATTCTTTCATCAAACGTAGGATATAAATGTAAGTATAAGAAACCAGGGTTAATTATTTCTGAATAATAATGAAAAACTTAACTACAAAATTATAATTTTATATATTAATATTTTCCATTCCATTTTAACAGACTTAGAACTGTCTATGATCTATTTCGACCACAGGTATGGTTAAAAATGTTTTTATAGTTTTTTTTTTTGTTTTTTAGTTTCTTTTTCATTAAAATATAAATTATTATAATTATGTTGGTAAAAATATTAAAAATGTTAAAATCATTATATAAAATAAATAAAAAGTAATGGAAAAGAAACTAAAAAAAAAAAAAAAATTATAAAAACACTTTTAACCATACCTGTAGTCTAAATAGATCATAGATAGTCCTAAGTCTGTTAAAACGGGAAGGAAAATGTTAGTACAATATAGTACTTACCAAAAAATATTCAGGAACTAGTGTAGTACCTATAAAAAGCCGAGACCCAACTAGTGTAGTATCAAAAATAATTCGGGACCCAATTTGGATGCAGCCTTTAAGGCAGTAGTAAAAGGTCTTACTAAGTAAAGGGAAATTAGTCTAATACATGGTCAAAAAAATAATCGTTAACGTTCGGCATCCAAATCTATATTCTTATCGTATCAATAAACTAATTGGTATAAAAGAAATAAAAAATATTTAAATTCCTATATGGCATTTACAAAAGAGATAGAAAATTAGTACGTTTAATTCTTTTATTGATGCATCTGAGTTGCTTTTATTATTAACATAGACATTATAATCTTCTTTTGGGTTTGAGTTATTGCGACTAAAAATGAACTGTACATTGACTTTACGGAAAAATTGATAGCAAATTTTGATAAAGTAAACCTATAATATAAATATGAATTTTATTTGTTACACAATTTTACCCATATTTTTTTTTATTCAGGAGTAATACAGATATAATTTTTTTTAAACCAAATTACATATAATAAAATATTATATTTCATATAAACTATTAAAAATAGAAATTCTTATATAATATGAATTAAAATTAAATATTTAAATAATATGTAAAACTTCAACTAATACTTATTCACGATTTCTTTGATAGTTATTAAATACTCGTTAAATAGTTCAAAGCCATGGTTTGAGTTATATATATATATATATACATGAATTATAAATATTAGATAATACTTATGGATAAGGTAATTTATATTGTAGAAAAGTCAAGAAAGTAAATAATAAAATTGTTATAATTAGTTAAGTTTTGAATAAAACGGTACTTTCCTTTCCAAATTAATGTTAAATTAATTTATAATTTTATAATTTAAAGGTTTGATATTTTCAAAATTATAATACATTTTGTAAAACAAATTATTTTAAAATAAGACAGATTAGTCTAACAAGTCTTTTAATATTTTTAACCTTTATTTTATCAATGCTCTTCTTAATGGTTTAATTGATGCACCAGACCTTTTGTTCTCTGTATCATTTCGTGTTCCACCCTATCCCACTAGAAATCATTTTATATTTCATGTTCCCTTTCATCTTACATTCTATAATAATAATATTCCTCTACGCAAAATGCTCCGCTCTATAAACAATTCATAGCTTTTGGTTACATCCACTTTTTACATAATAATTTTTCTTTTGTATAGTCAAACCTGATTAAAAAATTATTGTTATTATTGTTTTGTTGTTGTATATATTTTTTTCTCCTTCCCTGTCACTTAACATATATTGTTCTTGCTATAGATTGTCATTTATAATACTAATGTTAATTGTAGTATGGCGTTTAACATTTAAATAAATAAATAAATATATATCCAATTATATTGTATGTTTAGAAAGTGATAAAAATAATATAAACGATTAAACGTAAAACATATAATATAACTAGGTATCAGAAATTAAGAAAATGCTAATTTATTATAAATACAATAGTTAGGAATTAAAAATTAAAATGAATATTGAAATATGTTTAGTTTTTATTGTTTAAAAATTCTACTGTTGATAAAATACAAAGGTAAAGAAAATTTGAAATCTTAAAAAAACTGATATTAGAATAAAGTTATTTGTCTCATTATTAAAACAGGTTTGATTTTTAATTCGTTATATTATATGTAGATAAATGAAAAAAAAAGATGTTTATTTTATAAATACAATAATTCATTTTAAAAGAAATACCAAGATCAAATCAAATTTTATAATTTCGAGTTTCTTTATTTTTTTGCGAAAATAATAATAATGATAATAATGCGGTCATTAAAATTCGTTATATTTAAATATTAACGAATTATTGATAGCTGACATATTGAAATGATATATATATATATATATATAATAATTTTTAAATTTATTTCTGATGTTTACAAATTCTAGTTATAAAAAAGGTAACAACATATATAATAAAAAATCACTTACATTTAACTATTCGTGTTTAATTTTAAATTTAAAATGCCATTTTAATAAAATTATGAGCGCAGATCTATAATCCGTTAAGTAATCAAAAATATTAAACAACATTGTAAAACTAATACATTCTTACATTCATTTAAAGAATATAAAATGTTATACGCCATTATTTTAAACTTTTCTTTTCAAAACTTTTAATAACATCATAATTGTAAATTGAGATAATTTAAGTATTATAAATTACGAAGATGGCGTAATGTATAGGCAAAAGTATTACATATCTTTACTGTGACACCATATTTTCTATTTTTTTTTTTAACCATCCAAATAAAAAAATATTACAAAAATGAATAATTGAACTATTTATTATTTTTTAATTTGTATACATTTTTTTTAAAAAATAAGTCTAATATAAGTATAAAAACATATGTCTCTAATTTACTAATTATATGATATATTTTATAAAAGTCTTAAAGGGAATTTACTCCTCTTGATAGCATTTATAGCAAAACAGTCAAATTACTTTAGTTACATATCAAATATGTTACAAATATTACTTTTTTTTCTGGGTGTCTACGCTTATAGTTTAAAATGATTTTTAATTCAAATAATATATGAATATAAAAAAATTGTTTTATATATTTAATTTAATTATTTTATAATTAATTAGAATTATGTATAGGTAAGAATGTGGGAACTTTTTAATGTGTTGAAGTCTGTTACCTAATTTGTATATTTATTAGAGTAGATGGTCGAGAGGAGGTGCTATTATATCAATTATAGAATAAGAGAGGATGGTATAAAAGGCGGTACAAGTTTTCATATTATCATTAACAAGTAATATTGTAACTTTATGATATAATTAATTTTCAGTAAAATAATGAGTTAAGTAAGAAAACAATTTTTCAAGTTTAGATCATTTATCAAATTTTCATGTATAAAAATTAACTACCTGTCTACATAGTCTCCGATGATCAAAAAAGGTGATATACGTCAACTTTTTCCTTGTTAAACCTAGACCGGTGGGAATAAAAGAGGTATTCATAACTCTATCATTCTGATTTCTTAGAACACTTAAAAATAAAAATAAAATTTATGTTGTCCAGACATAAAAAGTTTATTGACAATACTTTAAGTTCATAATTTACTAATATAATCTTGATAAAATAGAAAATTGTAAACACGTAGTATTTAGTAGATAATGACATATTATACCTAACTGAATCACTCAAATTCGCCCAGGAGATATTTTATTATTTTAGATTAGAGAAATTACTCTTAATCAATTTCTCAATTAATTCTAAACCTAGAAATTTTAAATTGAAAGCAGAATACAATCTTATTAATACAATCTTACATATACCTCAATCGGTTATTATTAAAATCAATATATTAAACGAAATAAATATTTCCTAGGAAACCAAAAAGTGAAAAAATGTATAAATACAGCCCAAAACTGTTTTGAAAATATGGTTTTTAAATAATTCTTTTTTATGGCACATTTAAAGTGCCAGAGGAACCATCATGTATAATTTCAAGATGTATATTTTGTATTTTTTGAGACGTGTAGTGAGTAATTTCTTAATTAAACATAGATTATTACGAATATTACAATTAAAGTTGTAATATGCAACTTCATAATAATGTTGTATTCACTAATAATAAAAATTGATTAATATAAAGTATGATATGAACTATTTAAATAATAATTAACATATTAATCAACAACATAAAATAAAATATGTAAGAAAATTAATATCATAAAAGTTAACAAGTATTATATACCTTGGCAACTTGCTACTTGAAGTACTACCTCACTTTCCAAATGGCGGGTGTTTTGTCAATATAAAAATAATTGAGTTCAAATGTTCAGGCTTATGAGGTTCACTTAAAGCTTTAAATAAAATCTATAATGTAATTATATTGTTATATACAATTTATTTTTAGAATAGTTGAGAAAATTATACGTAGATCCAAATATATTTAATACTTCTACTGTACCATTTGTTATAACAAAAAATTACCAGGAATATTTCGCTGAATATAATTAAAATTGTCTGGAACCCCTAAGTTAATACACCACTGCATATAGTATGAATATAGTAAATACAAGTAAAAAATCATAATTATTTTCACGAATACGTTGAAATATTTGTTTAATTTTTTTTATAAAATTTATGTTTCAGCATGGTAAAAATTGGTTTACCTTGGTTGTTACTAGTTCTAATGAAACTCACTAACCGAGAAATCAAATCCGATGAGATTATATCCTTTCAAGAAGTTTATGATATATGTCAAGTAGAACCTAATGCTGACATATGTGACATATTGGAAAAATCTCCGAGTTTAATTAACATTAATAAAATAGATTCACCAGAAAAACGCAGACAAAAAACAGTATTCTCGAGCTGGGGCGGAAAAAGACAAAGTACTTATCCATATGGTGGAAAACGTCCAGCATTTTCTAGTTGGGGAGGCAAACGAGCTTCGGATAAGCATGGTCGACCAAAACAAACATTTTCTAGTTGGGGTGGCAAAAGAAGTGAAATTGATGGTTATGATAATGGAGAAATACTTGAACACCAAATGGAAAAAAGAGAACTAAATGGCATCAAACAAGAAGATAAAATCAATTATAGAAATAAAATGACTAAAGGAATACATGCACTGTTTACTATTTTTTCAGACTGGTCAAGAGATCCAGAAGAAAAGAAGGGCATTCGCTACGCAAGCCTTAAAAGTATTAGAAGAAGTTCCGATTTTTTTCCATGGGGTGGAAAACGAACTAGCGGAAATTCCGAATAAATATATTTTTCTTTATAGTTGATGATAGGCGCATTACGGTTTGTTATATTTTATTGTAAGAAAAAAATTAACAAAAACAAATTGGTTCAATCGTAATCTTACTTAAGTGACTATAAGCATACTTAGGTAGTATTAAATTGGTAGAAATATATGTACCTAATATCAAAATATATATATATGTGATTAGATGACGGAATGTAGTAACACAGAATACTGTTTTACGTTAAGTCAAAATTTTGATTTATATATTGTTAACACTAATTTAAAAATCTTAATGATTTTAAATAAAAAGTTATCTTGAAATTACATTATTTTTTATGATGACATTATATATTTATATGTATATATAATTTAGATGGTTATAATGAATATGGTTCATAGAATAATTGAGGTTCACAATATATTTTAAATCGCTCTGATATTACATCTATTACATAAAATCTTAACTTTGTACAACAGCAAAATAAAGTCAATTATTATAGTAAAATGTTGAAAATATAAAACGATCATAAGGAAAGTATGTTGTTAAAAAATACATTAGAATGAAATAGTTTTAAATGATGCGTTGAAACATTTTAGTAAAAATATCCCAATAATTAAAAAATATTAATTCAACATTTTACCTCTAACATGAAAGTTTTGATTAAAAGTACCTGCGTAATAAACATTTTTTTAAAAAAAATTTTCGGTTAATAGTATTTTTGAATTTTAATATGAATGAATGATTTTAATAATAGATTATTAATATTTACAACAAATGAGAATTTAAATTTATTGGAAAACCGTGACATGTGATTTACCGATGGAACTTTTAAATTATATCCAACACTTTTAAACAACTGCATTTTATTCACGGTACAATCAATAGCATCATCTTGTATATATTTTAATGTGTACTAAGACTAAAAATAGTTATTCTGAAGTAGTTACTACATCAAATCAATATACTCAAACCAAATTTAAAACCAAAACCTATAGTAATAGATTTCAACCATACATTTATAAAATATTTTAAAGAATCGTAGATACAAACTAAAATGCATGATGATTTATTCATTTCACACCACGTTTATTGCAAATAATAGTTGAGTGGACTAAAAATAGATATTTATCGGAAAATTATCTCATGATGTAAATAGGTTATCGGATAATTGTTTTTTTACCCACCTCAGATATTATTTCCGTACATGAAAAACTCATAAATTCTAAATACTAAAAAAACAAATTTATAAAAAATGAAGTCGATTTGCAACCAATTATAGATTATTTTGAGGATACGTGATTAGGAAGACCAACATGTGTTAAACGAAGAGCACCAACATTCCCAATTGCAAAAAGGCATTTTTTTTAATAATGATATTCAAGGCTCTTCAAGAACAAAAAAATGCAATGGAAATATAGCACCGAGTATTTAATTTAACTCTGGCAGCTAATCGTGTGACTGTATGGAAGATCATTGACATTATTAAGAGGTAACAAGATCTACATAGGGGTAGAATCGAACAAAAAGTTTAAGGAACTCAACCGAATAAAAGACGAAATGTAAAAATTTAGTTAGAGTGATTGAGTAATCTTGTTTTAGGATACGATAAAATTATTATAAAAAATAAGTATTTATAATCAATAGAATATAATTTGGTAATATATTTTTAAATTTAAAATTTTAACATAATTATACAAATTCAAATTTTGTTTTCATAGGATATTTTATTGGGGGATATTTAGGTTCAGGAATATATTGTCATTAAACAAAATAATTGATCATTCTTTTTGAAAAAAGTAAAAAAATATTTAATTATTGATACAAGTTTGGTAAATAATATAGACTCTGTAGTACAGAGTTTATACTGATATAATATGTTATATAATATGATAAATTTAATGAAAATATAATATTTTATACTGAAAAGTTATTAATGTAATTACTCTACACTGGTTACTTGAAGAAAAATAAAATTATGAGTTAGTAAAAATTAAAAAGTTAGTGATTAGTTGGGTTCGTAATGTATGATTTTTGAATATATTGGTTTTATAAATAAGTATAATGTCTTTCATAATTAAATTTGAGGTCATCAAATTTCCATACTTCATTTAGTCAATAATATATTTGATCCTTGTTTGTTTACATATGCTGCCTTACTAGAGCTCAGTAAAAATACATAGCTATGCAATTGTTGACTTAGTTAATATTTTTATCACAATATAAAAATCACAAAATATCTTTATATCATAATAAAAAAATTGAATATGTACGAATTTTAAACCTGTAAAAGACACAGATTATTTAGTTATTTAAGCCAATAATTGATTATGCATTTCCTTCTTTTAACTTAATTATCTTATAAAATGACAGTACATACATATATTTATACATAGACCATTACTTGATTCAATATTTGTCAGTAAAATTGAAAATAAAAACACTTTATATTGCAATTAAATAGCTTAAAATATAATTTATTTGATGAATTAAAAATAATTTATTGCACGTAACATTACTTAAATATTAAATTATTTTAACTTATACTATAACATTTTAGGCAGATTAAATTAGTTATATTAAAATGAATAATGGCTAAACTATCCCACAAAACTTTATTGAGAATACATAATATTATAGTACATGAAGTATGTCAGCATTAATGCGATTAATTATATTATATAGATTTTAAAAATAATAATAATCAATAACTATTTTATTCATGTGTACATTGATACATTAAACACATAGGTATCTAAATTATCAAAAGTAATATTATGTTTTTATAAAATTAAATTGTAATAAATGATAATGGACTCTAATGTCTTATTGTATTTTTAATTTTAACATGCAATATTTTTTTTTACATAAAATAAAAGACAGTAATATAAGTTATGTTAGTTAATTAATTTAAATACTATTTAAAAATGTAAAAGCCTTAAAAATTAAGGTTGCAACTATATATGAATTAAATACTATTATCAAGAACTGAAAATACCATGAAAATATATTACTTAAATGGATAGTTTATACTTTTATTTGCATTTGATAAAGTTCTAAAGTAAAAATAATTAATATTTATAATTTTAGAAAATTATAATAAAATATAAGAATATTTTTAATAGCATTAATATAAGATTGAAGAAAGGTTGTTGAATCTAGTGTTTCAATTAAATTAAATTTTGAACAAACAAAAACATACAAAATCATTACAGGTAAGTCAACTTATACTTTACATCTATATACAGTTAATATGTCTATTATATTAATATAACAAACAGTAAATTTAATAAAACTAAACTACTAATGGAATTCATTAGTATTCAAAATTAAAATCCATTATCTATTAATAAAATTGAAAAATATCTAAATGACTTCTGTGAGTGATGGTAAACAACAAAAACATACAATATAGGTATGAACTAAATAGGTATACGTATACTTTTCTTAATATATCTATAAAAAATAAACAAATGATACTAAACTTATTGAATTGTAATTTTGTAACAATTTATAGTAATATAATTATTTGTCGAGTACAAATTATAACATAGGTAGGTACCTTAAATATGATAAACAAAATGGGATGTAATCAGATAAATAATATTTATAAGTGAAAAATTTACCTTGAGAGCAAAGGCGGTGATACTCGTTGAAATGAATACCCTGTTGATTAGAATAAAGTACAACGTGAAACCATTTGTGTGTAAGATCGTTAAGATATAAATAATTAAAAATATTATTTTCTATTTGCCGGTTTTGATATGCCGCGACAAAAATAACAATGTTGTGTTGATAACAAATAATATGATTTAGCTACTACTTCAGCAAACTTATCAGTTTATTTGTTAACTGTTATCTTTATCTGTAAGAAGTGTTTACAACGTCGTAACTAAATAATATTTCAAATTTATTTAATTTCACGAACAGTATTTTTCTCGTCCTATTTCAGTAATTAAATCTGTTTCATTATCATACATTTCAAATATTGATTTGTGTGAACTTCAAGTTAGAATGCAAAACAATTGGGACGAACAGAATACACGTGCGCAATATTCCTAGAAAACTGAAATCAGGTGATAATTTTATCAAACTGTCCTACTTATAAACGTTTTAAAAAAATAACTGTAAATGGCAAATTAGTTAACTGTAAATGTGATCGTAAAATGTTGTTTCTCTTTTATTTATTAGAAAGAACAACTAACCTACATGGTTCAGTGTACATTTTTTGATTGGTCGAGATGGATCTTTCTTTTTTAAAAATTATTTTTGCTTTTATGGCATTTTCAATTGTCATTTTAAGTGTATTAATTAATACTATCGAGTCTAAATTACCAGTGTCTATAGTGCAAACATTTAGGTATGGTAAATTTTCAAGTGATAAGAAACATTTCTTGGTTAACTACTTTGAAGTACCAAAATATTGGTTCAAACATTTCTATGTATTCGCTGCTATTTGGTCAACACTTGGATTTATATTAGTATTATTAGCCTTTATATTTAAAGGGCCAGTACCTAAGTTTGTAATAGAATTCCTGGATATTATAGCATTGAAGAATCGACAGACTTCCTATAATGCGACTGCGACTACGATTGCGATGCTCTGTATGTTAATTCAATGTTGGAAACGATTTTATGAAACTCATTATCTAAGCATATTTTCAAATTCGAAAATCAATATTTCACATTATGCTATTGGCTATATACATTACTTTGGTTGTATAGCAGCCATTTTAGCTGAGGCACCATCACCTTTCACTACACTTTCAGTAGATCATTTATCCTACTTTTCAATTAATGATATTAATATACAATTGATAGCTGGACTTATTATTTTTCTGTGGGCTTCTCAACAACAGTATTTAGCTAATGTAACATTAGTGAATTTGAGAACTAACAAAGATGGGAAAATCATAACATATGAACATAAAATTCCAACAGGAGGATTATTTGACAAAATATCTTGTCCTCATTTGTTTTGTGAAGGGCTCATGTATATGGCCATTTATATCATGCTTTGGGGAAGTCAGACTTGGCCTTATGTTTTTTTTTGGGTGTTATGTAATCAATGTGAATCTGCAATGCTTAATCATTGGTGGTATCAATCAAAATTCAAAATGTATCCAAAAGAAAGATATGCTTTCATTCCATATATATTGTAATCTAATGATTAATTTTTATCCAAATATATTAAAAAATTAACTAAAGAATAGTTTATTTTATTTAGATTTTTTTTATTAAATATTATAGAATATATATTTACATTTTTGTTACTATGAATTTCAATTTATGTTAGAATGTTTAATGCATATTATTAAATTGTATTAACTGATTTTATTATTTTCTATAACCAAAGTTATGATAAGAATTAAATTTTTTGGTGCTATAAATTTTACTTGTTCTTTTTTTTTTTATGTATATTATAAGTTGTTATTATTTAAACTTGTTAAATTATTTTACTTTTCATTGGTTATTTAATTATTATTAATTTCATTATTCTATCAATCGATATATTTTACTCTTATTTTTTATATATTTTTATTTTTGAATATATTGGAGCTAGATTTTACATATTGTTGTTTATTTATTTATGAAAATATAAATTAATGCTTTCAAAATACATCATATGTTGAAATATTCCAACTTTATTATGAATTAAGTTTTTAATTAATTCAAAGGTGACCTACATAATTAAAAATCTAGTTTGGTTCACAAAATATTTTACCTATTTTACAATGTTCCAAATATATATACTTTGAATATAAGTGAATTATTAAGTGCAGCTATCATTGTTGAGTTTTATATAACATCAACTCCTGTACTAGTTATATTTAATGGTGTATAGTATACTAAACATGGTTTGTAATTGGTGTGTTGTATAAGTATATTTATTATTAACAATTTAAATATTTTTGACTATAGGTCAGTGTAGATTTATATATATTCAAATATTTGTATCTCAAAATTATATAAATTTATGTAATGTTATTGATATAATTAATAAAAATAAATATTGAACATAATAACAATAATTTATATAAGTATATTAATCTATTCAGAGAATTAAAAATTTATTAAGTATCAATCTTCAATCATGTAAATTAAATATTTATGTTAGAACTCAAAAACTCCAAAAGCTATTGTATTATTTCTGTTCAGTACCTACTATTAACTACTAATTTGTTTATACATTTTATATAATGTAATATACTAATGTAATTTAAATTTTAAACAGTTGATAATTACAATAATTTTTGTAAAATTAATATTGTTTCAATATTAATTTATTCTGCTGATCCTAAAATAAGTATGTTTGTTAATATATAAATTTATTGTTTAAAGACAAATTTTTAGGAAGCTTATACATTTTTTGTGATTTATTTTCTGAATTACATTTAAATTTGGTTTATTATTTCATTAACTTTCAGACTAAAAAATTATTCTTGTATGTATTATAATCATAATAATCAACAAAATAGTGATTATTGGTTGATTATTTTATATAATATACAAGTGGCGTAGCAAAGATTTTTCAAGGGTAGGAGTTTAGGGTTTAGGTCTAAAGTATAAAATACAATAGTTATACTTGAACATATTTTTAATTTTGTTATACTTTATTTATTACATTTAAAAATTCAAAAAATATTTGAATTACTTAATTAACTCAATTAATAATTTAAATAATGTGACATACTGCATTAGCCGTAGTTTTCTTGTTTTGATCAATAATTTATTTAGGATATCATCAGGGCGTAACATTATATTGCAGTGTGTATTAATCATTGCTAAACCATTCAGTCTACATTTACACGTGGTGTTTTGCAAGTATGTTTTTATTCTAATATAGTTTATATATTGTTTTTATTTCTTATTTAATTAATGTTGAAAAAGAGCTTTCACAACTAGTAGTTGTAACTGAGAGAATTTAAAAAATTTGTAGAAGTTTAAAAGAAAAGTGAAAATTGATATATAACATTTTTGAAGAGTATCAATATCATTTTATGGAAAATCTTGAATTTCTGTAAATTGTTGCCACATTTTAATTTCACTAGCAGTTGCTTACACAATGCAATCTAAATCATCTTGATACATTTCAACTAACTGCTTAATTTTTCTTTGTCAAGTATACAATTGGATAATGATAAAATGAAGTTATCATTTTATATGATAGATCTGTGAGATAAAAACCACTTATTCATTTATAAATATCTACAAATGGATTAAATATTCTGTAATAATCTTCAGGCAAATTAACCATTCACTGGTGCTGCGAATATGATTGGTACTATGTGGTAATACCATTTACAACAATACATTTCAATACATTTAATCTACCTTTTACCATATAATTCATTGAAATTGAGCCTCAACAATATTTTCTATGCAGTAAATTCTTGATTTTGATAAGATCTATTTCTGTTAAAATATACAACCCAATTTAATTCCTAAAAATATAACTTCTATTGTGTTTTTCTATCTATTGTATAATTTAGTATTATATAAAATCCACTTAGTAAAATCACTCATTTTATAAAATGGATATCACTTAATGAATGTATCGATTTTGTGAAAAAAAAAACGGTTTTTTAATTTTTTCAAGATTATTTAATTTTTATGTAAATCTTATGATTTGATATAAAGTGAATATATCTTGTAATTTTAAAAATATATTGTTTTATTAATTTATTCATTTTTCATATAAAAAAAAAAAAAAAAACAGGAAACTATCATATATATGATAGTTTTTTTCTGGTTTTTTTGGTATAAACATATCTTATCCTTTATTGCTAAGGATTATGTTAAAATACTGTTTAAAACATCATGTCACATTCGTCAAATATTTTTCAATTATCTTAATATTTTAAAGCAGTCCATATACGGTCAATAATATTGATCAAAATTTGATATTATCGATAATATTGATAGTGTATTGGCAGTATTGAAGGATTAATCAATATATTGAACAAATTGAAAATATTTGATTTTTATTGAAGTACTGTTAATAATATTGTACATTATTGTATCTTGTTTTTTTACTAATAGAGTAACTAAAGTTAAAATTTCATCATAGCATTCATTTTCTCATTTATCCTTAAAAAATTTCGATAGACTTCAGGTTAGTTAGTTCAATCATAGTTCAGTTAACAGATTTTCACAATTATATTTATTTCGATTTTGTAACCACTCTTTAGTTCAAAACCTCTGCTTCCTTTTATTGAGAAAAGAAATAGCTAGAGCAAGAGCTATTATAGTATAATCAAAATTATGAGATATAACTGTTTGTAATTAAAATGCATAAATTGTTTGAAGCTAATTAAAATTTAAATGAATTGTATACATCGGTAAACTGTTCTCTGTAATATCTGATTTACTATTTGATAGCGGACCTGGTAACTTGATAATGATATTATGTTTAATAATTAATCAATATTATTGATACATTGATGGTCATCGTCAATATTTTGTCAATTATATTGAACGTGTATGGCCTGATTAAGACGTTAACTAAGACGATAGTCTTGTTTATCAGTGCTACTCACCATAGATTAAGTTATATCATTCATAATATCTTGGTTAAACCTTAGACTCCATGGTTAGGTTATGGCATAGAGTATTATTCCATGGGTAATATATACTCTAAAGATTATTTTTTTTTCATAAATTACATATTTCCATTATTTAAATATGAAAATATATTTTACTGTAACATCTGAAATGCTGTTGTGCTTAAAAAAAATATTAGCTTTTTCTTTTCTATAGTGTAACAGTGGGTTTTGAACCCCTACCATTGTGTCTATGGTCCTATAATATACTTATAAGTAAGTTTGGGATTTTAATATGCATCTCTTTCTCTGATGTCCCAACACATAGGTCCATAAGAAGAAAATGTGTTTCAAATGATACTGATTAATTTAATATAATTTTTATTTTACATTTTTTTTTTTTTTGGACTTTTTGACAAATTTAACTTTATATCTATTTTTAGGGTATATTTTGCTATTTTCAAGGCATATTTCAGAATTTAACTATACATTCTTAAACATTAGGGTATTTGATTATGCGTTTTGAATTTATTTGCTCAAAAATTGTTTATTTAATATATAATCTAATAAATAAGAGCATATCTTCCATGTATCAATTTTGTCAAATTTATCTATTTCATTAAAAATAGAACAAAATTAATATAGTCGAAAGAAATTTTTTTATTTATAAGAGTCCAATGACAATCATAACAGCAAGTAAATGTTTTAAAAATAAGTATCTATTTTGTTATTAATATGTTAAATAAATATAAATATGTTTAGTAACATGATTTTTATAGTATCATTTTTAAACTAAATTTTTTTTATGCATTTTTTGCTATTTGTTTAAGCATTAAAATCTCAGCCCTGCTATCTTTTAATATTTAATAATCTAAATATCTATACAATCTGTTATACTTTACATTTATAAATAAATATGAATATAATTATTTTTATTTTTACAATGCACAACTATTATCTTATTCAAGTTATGATTATAATGCACACATTTAAAAAAATATATATTTATATTTTTCCAATATACATAAAATTAGAATTATAAATTTTTTTTTTTCACTAAAATAATGACAAATGCTTCCTTTAGTTTTCTTTTACTTTTAATATGTTCAAACGGGATCTTAGTATTTCTACAATATCCTTTGGTTCATGCTGTAATAAAAATATAGTTATATTAATATAATAATTATGAAATAATTCATATTTAAGTAATCAATTAATAATTAATTATATACATTTTATAATATGGATTAAATAATCTTATTAAAATGGTAAACATACTCTTTTTAATATTTAAATATTTATATTCATAATTTAGATCAAATTTTAAAATTAAGAATTTATTATCTTCAATCCTTAATTACAGTATTAAATTTGGGTTATATACACATCAGGTAATTTACTTTTAAAATATGTATTCCTCTTTCGCTCATTACAACAATATCTTTTACTCCTTCGTCAGTTGTATCTAAATAACAGATTGTGTATACTGAATGTCTGATGTCATACTGTTGTTGTTCAACCCATGTATTATTCTTGTAAACATAGTTTAAAATATACTAAAATATTCATATTTTTATTATTGATTTATACTTAAATATATACTCAAATTATATATTAATGTACTTTACATTTCCATAAGTCCCAATTAGTATTTCGTTCTTAGAATCAAAATTTACATCTGTGATTAAAGCACATATAATTGCTTGATGTCTATTACTATTAGTCAACGTTATTGCATTTTTTAAATTGTTTTTCAATACATTCCTATAAATAAATTTAAATAATTTACATATATTTTTAAAAATAAATCATAAATTTAATTACTAAGTTACTGGTACTTGCATGTATACAACAGCACTTTCAACTGCACTTCCTACAAGCAAGCAAATTTCTTCTTTTTCATTTATAGTGTTACAATCTGGTATGAAATTTTCTTTGACTACAATATATTAACTTTTATATTTAAAGGTTATAAATAAAAAAGGCACATTTTTAAAAAACCTGAAAGAATATGTTTAGTTTTGGCTGTTTTATTATGTATATTAAACAATTCCATGATGGTTACTGGTGACTGATAATGTTCAGCAAAATAATGAAGTATCTCATTTTTTTCTGAGTCTACTACTGCAACCATTGAATACCCTGTTTCACATCCATAAAATGATATTCTTCTGAAAATGTATATAATATCATCAGAAATTAAAATTATATTTTAAAATTAAAATTTTACTTTTTATAATTACTAAATGATTTAGTGTCAAAACACAAAACAATAGAATCTTTTGTATCTTCATATTCAATAAAATGTTTTTCTATTTCTTGTTCTGTTATTTTTTGTTCATCACTTTTATAAGCATGAATTTTTTTATCGCTTCCTGATAATAACCACATACCCTAAATTATAACAATTATTTATCAATGTAATTATAATTTCACAAGGCTCATTATAAATATTATCATATTAGCAGCTGCATAAAAATTATAATAATGCACATGATAGTAACTATTATTGATGAATATACGCACAGCAATAATATATTAATATTATTCATACTATGATATGTTATGAATTTCATATTTATGAAAATAAAATAATTAATATTTCAATATATTAGACTAACTAGCTCAAGGACCTTAAAATTCTTTAGAACTGTATATAGCAAAGTTTAAAACCTAATTAAATAAATACTAGAAATAATAGATAAAATAATAAATGAAATAAATAATATAATGTTTCATGTTACTAAGATTAATATTTTTTGAAATTCAAGTATTAAATAAAATTATGAAAACTAGAGTTATTACATAGTTATACATTTTGTGAGTTAGTATGTTTTGTAGTTCTATAAATTATGAAAAAATGAAACAAGACTTCTCATGATGTATTTTTTAGAAGATATTTTGAATAAATTTAAATATATATTTTAGAACCATCTTTCTGTTTAAAAATGTGGTAAAACAATTAACCAGATAAAAAATAGTAAAGATTTAATTTTATTATATTACCTTTTTATGAGTTTCACATACATAAATAGCATGGTTTAATTTGAATGGAAAAAAATCCAACATAAGTGTTTCACAATTTTCCATTATTGCTTCTAATGACGATCCAGGAAAACCAGAATAAATGTTTAAATATGTTTCAGAATTTAGTTCATCTATAATCTAAAATATATTATTTGCATTACTTCAGTATAAAATTTTGTTTTAAATTTGAAATCAAGTTACTTAGTATTTTATAGTAATAATTATACAAAGTTTTAAATATTATTGGCTTATACTTTATTATGTATTTTTTTATAGTTAAGAAGTAAATACTCATTTTTGACAATTATATATACAGGGTGGGGCACTGAAACGGTCGATTTTCAAAGATATATTTTCTCAGTAGCAATTAAAGTAAAAATTCTCTCTGAATATTATTAGTTGCAAGACAACATGCCATTTAGTAAAAATGGAACAGTGGAGTGCTGAACAAAGTGCTTATGCGATAAAATTGTTTTATAAAAATAATAACAGTTGCGTAGCTGCACAGCGTTCATTTGTTCGTATCCATTTTAATCTTGAACGCCATGATTCAGTACTATCGGCATGGCTATTCAAATATGGGTAACCAACTTTTAAGAGTCGGGTTCAACATTAAAAAAGAAGCCTGTACGAAAAAAAACACGTCGCTGTGTAAAATCCAACCTAGACTTCTACTGAACAAGTTTTAAAAAAAACATATGTTTTGTGCAGAACATTTCGGACTCCTTATGAGAGCGGTCTTAACAGCAGTGATGTTTATGAATGCTTTTTTTTACGGGCATATATTTTTTAATGCTAAACCCGTGTCTTCAAAGTTGGTTATCCATATTTAAATAGCCTTGCCGATGGTGCCGAATCATGGCGTTTAAGATTGAATTGAAGATGAAATGAACGCTGCGCAACTACGTAACTGTCATTATTTTTGTATAATGATTTTATCGCATAAGCACGTTGTTCATCACTCCACTGTTCCATGTTTACTAAATGGCATGATGTCTTACAACTAATAATATTTAGAGAGAATTTTTATTTTAATAACTAATGAGAAAATTTATCTTTGGAAATCGGCCATTTTAGTGCCCCACCCTGTATATAAAAAAAAAAGTTTTGTATTATTCTTCACAAAATAAGACTTATTAAAATATAATTTTCTCATAACCTTTGTTTTAAAATGTAATGTTAAATTTATATGACATACATTTTATTTAATATTATATAACAAGTTTTAATGAGAATAATATGTGTATTGGTAAACAAGATATTATTTTAAAGATCATTCCAGTATTATTAATACAATGAATGTAAGACTTATAGCAGTTTAATGTGATAACAATTTATCAATAAATAAATATTTTGGTGTATTTAACTGTTCTCTATGCTTCTTAAAAAATATTAGTTCTGAATAAAATACATAATATTGTTCATAAATAAAAAATGTTAACTACCTATGGAAACAAAATCTTAAAATATTATACAACGTAAGAAGTTTGTTAATCATAATAATTTTGAAAGTACATACAGTTCCATAAGTAATTCCAATAACAAAATCATCAAACTCCTTGTATCTGTTAATACAGTGAATTGAAAAGATTTCTGCATTGCCTGTATAAAAACACACAGGTATAATGGCCAAATAGAGATATATTCTAGTAAATGAGATTTACTGGAAATATTTGAAAAATTAAGTTCTACAGGATAAGTTTTGACTTCATCGTTAATTGTTTTCGACTCTAGTGTGATAATGTTTTTCTTCGATGAAATCATTAGGATCTTTTGACTACCATCGACCATATGCATTACCGTCGCAGAATAAATATTCGCTGGAGATGCCGTATCGTACACTACAGCCTGTATTAATCCATCCATTGTTTTAAACTTTACATTTTTTTTCAAATCGCATAATTATTGAGATACTTGTTATTCAAGTGGATCGACTTTTCGACAATACTTGTTGTTGTCAATTTGTGATATGATAACAATTATCACTTAACCGCTTTGCGCCATCTGCACGCTTTCTCATGTAACTATTTTGTATTCAATATCTTCGCAGGCAGAGCGCGGATGCAAATTCGTATTTCCTAGTTTCAATAATTAGTTAGAAAAATTAATAATACTAGTATTTAAAATCAATGTTATTAGTTTTTAGCTACAGTGAAGAATTTTAGAAAACATTAGTGCGACTTAATTGTGTTATTTATGTTCTTTGCGACTTAGAAGGCCCGAGCAATGGACAAATAAATTCTGGAGATTGACGATCGCCGTGGTGTTGACGAGTAAAATCATTTACAATAACCCCATTCAACATTTTAAACTAACGAATAAATTAAAATAAACCGAAATGTTTTATGAAAGAAGTTAATGCGATACGATTTAAGGGGTCTGGATAATAGACAAAACTCAAATAGATAAATACCGAGCCATTGTGATGAACAGAATCAAATTCAATCATTTAGTTAGATTCATAACTCTCAAACGATGAACAATAATCATTATTATTATCCTCTACTTTCGTCATCCGTTGTCTGCATTATTTACGAATTATTATTCTATAATTAATTTTATCTTAATATATTTAGTTTGAAATGTATTCAATTTACTAGATTATAGAAAATTATAATTTTTACAGCCACTTCATCAAATATTGAAGGGGCATCGTTAGAAGGTGCCCAGTCAGTGATCGTCGACCTTGCTAAGCCGCTACTCATAGTCGTAGGGAATTTCAATGGAGGGGGGGGAGGCATCAGTCCTACCATTTTTAACCAACAATTATAAGTCGAGGCTTTGTCCCCATACATTTATATGATCCAAAATAATCATTGAATTATAATCATTAAGTGCTATGATGTTGCAAGATAAAAGCTTAATTAAAAAAAAAATTACAATCATATAAGGTAATACATTTATACGATATAAAACAATAATAAATCCGGTGAGCTGAATTCACATTAAGGGGCTTAGTCTCCCCTCCCCCAACCCTATTTCCGCCTATGCTGCCACTGCTATCGACCTTTTCGAGGTGTAGGTCCCATGTCCAAATTTTTATTTTGCCAAAGGTTTAAGGGCTTACCTGTGTAAAAGCATAATCTGTCCAGACGTGAAGCTAAAACCTACCAACTTTATTGACTGTACTTCGTTTTTAACAGAGTAACAGCAAATGGTCTTCCTAAACCTTTCGTGTGAAACACTCTGTCCATTAGTGAGACCCGAAATAAAACTCGTTCTATAGTTCGCGCACAGATGCTGTAAATTATTTTGCTGCGTACCATGTATACGCTATGTATATTATTATGCATCAAGTAGTTTCGTTAAAACTACATAATTAAAACAATTCATCATTTATTTTTTAGTTTATATTCATTATTTCAATGATGTATTCGTACGTTTTTCATACGAACTCGTTTATCAAGTTATTGCGTACTAAATATTTCTACGGGTTAGTTATAATATGACATATATATTAAGTATAATTTATAGAGTTAATATTTCTTTTCGTACTATCGAAAGAAAATTTAATGAAATCATTTGTTGATGGAATCAGATTTGCCGAACAATTATAAGAGTGGTAACGTAAACATTTTTCTAATAGCTCATACCAACTTACAACAATTTAAAGTAGGTAGGTATGTTTAATTTAAAACAACATTTAATTATTACTCAAGTGATATATTGAACTTAAATTGAATAATTTTGGTATCTACTACTATTAAAAGACGTATCGTTGTTAGTTAATAAATAATTAAACTTTGAAGACTTTTCGTACTTCCATTCTTGGATTGAATACGACGAATGAAATAGGATAAGTAATTCGTTGAAATAAGATATTGTTTAATATTTATTATTAATTATCGATTCATTACTTATATGTTTTTAAATATTTTATATTCAACTTAATAATTTTGTAATAATTTATATAATTGATGACCAACCGAGTATCTATTAATTTATTTTTGACGATTTCCCAGTTACTCTTATTATTTTTTATTTTATTAAATATTTCGTCACTCGGATGACAATAAAAAACTGAAGGTATTAATCATCAGTTTTTCTCAATAATTTTAAATAACTAAGTACAATGATTGTTTTTAAATGTATTTCTTGTTTTGGAACAGATAACTTGATTTAGAATTGTGTAACGAAATTGGATCTAAGTATTTTAATAAGTTGATCTAAAACAATCTTAAATTTTGTATTATTACAAATATAATTACTTCTTTAGTATTATTATTTACTTTTCAACTATAGGTACTTAATTATAGACATTTTTATTTTTTTGTCAAATTTACTTTAATTGCTAATTACTAACATAGTTAGTTTGCATTTTATGAAGGATTAGTAATTTGCGTATTAAATTCAAACGTTGTTATTTTCAAGTTTTAAAATATAATGTATATATTATTTTTTGTATTTAATCTCATATTATGGAGTAGCAGTTGCTGATTTTTTTTTCTGAGTGAGTGAGCGCATAAAATACAATAGGTTGTACAAAGAATTAAAAAAAGGTACCAGTTATACCTCCTAAATAAGTAGCTATTATTTATTTTATCAGTTTCAAAAAATGGGGTTAGTATTAGTATTTTTATTTTTTTAGTACTGCTGAAGACAATTGAAATGGGTATTAGTCAATTGATCGTCGGTATAAAAAAGAACATAAAGGATCTGGGAAAAGCAATGTATCACCTTGTTTTGGTGTATTTCTATTACATTTAATCTTCCGGTTCTTTATATACGTCATGTCAGACCTTTCTCCTCCTCTATTTTTCTCTGACTGAAACGTATATTTAAACAGAGTTGAACATTTATTTTGTGCTGTATTAAATGCGAAAGCGACCAAGCGATTGAGATCGAACAGTTGTAAAGGGTTTCCGTTTTAGAGACTTACGCGTATTTTTACTTTTTATCTTCCGACCGTTTTTCTCGATTTGAAAATTTTCGGTACATTACGTGTCTTCCCTACACACATAAAACATTTAATTTGTTTGGATTTATTTTATATTATTATTATTATTTTAGTGTTCCCGAAGGTACAGAAATTCAAACGAAAACATATGTTACTCAGGCTTGAAATACTAATATTAGGTTAGGTTATTATGTACATTACTCTTATAAGATCTTTTTTGTTGATAACTTTTATGACACGAAACGAATATTAAATATACGTCTGTCGTAAACGAGTTGAATTTTAGTTAAGTAAACGCGCAAACGTAATGAAACTTGGATTTCAACCATTTTAATATTTGTTTAAGATGTTCAATGTAGCGAAGGAGCTATTGGTTTTATAACGATACACTGTGTTTTTTTTTGTGGCGTGGTAGCAATAAAAAAAGTTTCAAAAGTTTCACGTAGTCTACATATATATATATATATATATGATATATCGTTAATAAACTATGTGGATGATCTATAATTTATGTATTCGTTGGGCACATAATAATTAATTGCCGAAAAAATGACGGGAAACTGAAAGTAGATAGAATGAATAAAAAGTAAAATACAATGAAACATGTGTGTTGTATTGACGAACAAATGTTATAAAATCGTTTCTAGAATGCGCAATTATTTAATATTGCTTTGAAACACAAAAATAATTATATACGCTATAACCCGGAGGTGAACAAAGTGAAAAGAAAGTCCGAAAATTATTGTCACTATATTGTATTTAATGATTTTTATAAAAAAAAAAAAAACGTAAATTTGAAGTAACGGTAGTCCAAGTGTTACATAATATACTCATATACATGTATATAATATACTTTTGAATTACTTCTTAGGCCTTACGTATAGAAAATAAATCGTATTCACGTTGAACACTCTTTAGTTGAAACTGTATGACGCAAAATCAATATTTACGCGTAATCAGTTTTTTCGTAGTGTATATGGCAGTATAGGTTAGGCGCTGTTTGTAGTGCATTAGTGCATTTTCCATAGCTATAATATGATTAATACGACGTCATTTTTTGGAAGGGGATCTTCATTGTTAAGCTCATTTAATACAGGGGGAAATATTTAAAAAAAATTATTGGCTTACTGCTGATCGAAACACACCGAGGCTTATTATTCGTGTGTATATGTAGTTTGTATAGGGGACGATAGCAGATTAACTAAACAAGACTAAATGTTATACATTATTTAAAATTTGTGTTTGACCAAATATACTATTGGTTTAGCCGATTTACTTCGAAAGGAAATATTAAGCTTCCAGGATTAAGTACAATGTGTTTGAACAAATGAATACCAAACTAAAACTACTATTAATTAGATTTAGACGATTTAAAAATTACGTTTCCCAATACTCATTATTTGTAAAAGATATTTATTTTAAATACCGTATTAAAAACATACTTGTTTATTTTATAATCTACATACATTTTGACTGATTCTTGAGATTTATACCATTATTAGGAATAAAAAAAAATAATAAATTAATAAAAACAATAACCCTCTTATTTTAGTACTCGTAGTAAACGTTTATTCACTTTTTTTGTTAACTGATAACACAACTATCGACCTACAAAAAAATTATTATTAGTATTCACGTTTTTTTGAGTTATTAGGTTTTGAAAATTAAATTTTACATAATTTATTCAAATAAGTTACCTTTGTTTCATAAATGTACCATTATATTAAAGTTTTATCAAGTTTATATCTAGTATACAACGGTTACAACGAGTCTCAAATGCTATTATAGTTAGAACAATCGAATATTTGATTACTTGTAAATTTAACTGCCATGCATTTTAAAATACATTATTAATTGTTGATAAAATCATTTTGACATTTTAATATTTAATTTAACATAAATATACATCACTTTAATGAATGTGTTTGATTGGTGTAATCAAACGCAGAATAGCTCATAATACAAAGTTATCTATACGGTTAAAAACTTTGCCGGATAAAACCAAATGTGACTCTTGATGTTTCTTTAACTTTTGTATATGGTATATATTGTATAAGCATAAATAGTTAGAACGTTTTTTTATATCCTATTCATATCTATACATATAAAATTGTAATGTGTAAAACTGTGTATAATGTGCACATTATTTTATTCTATCATTTCAAACCATTAGTTCGTATCGTTTCATAAAACCCATTTAAATTGACTCGGTGTTCCAAAACGTTACGATGCTAATGCCACAGAACTCGAATGATATTATTATTAATATTTATTGTCCTGTTTTTCATATATTTCTTGTGTGTGCGTTTATCATTTGTCAACTATTAATAAAAGGGATGCATAAAAAACGCTTCTATACTACTGATAATAACAATAACAGAAACATGCCAACATCCAATAATAATAGACCAGTAGGCAGCTTATATATATATAAGTATGTAAAGTATGTATAAATCAAAATTATATTAAACTTATATACATAGACGACATGTTTATATAATTATTTTGACCATGACAAATATATAGGAGAGTTTTTTATAATGTGGGTCAATCTATATCGAGGTAGCTAAGTGTTTAAATTAATTTATGTTTTATTCATGGGAATTACATAACATTTGGATTAAAGGGTAATCTAAAACTTATTAAAAAAACGTACCTGTACATCCATAAACTAAAGACGTCTATAGACATTTAAAGGAAGTAGGGAAAAATAATTTAAAAATAAATTATGATTTTATATTTGTTGGTTTCATTACACCTAGGTATAGATAAAAAAAAAATGTACAAATTTAAAACCTTGCAAGATGGAATTACTTCCCTCCCCCTTCGGGACATCTATGTATGTAACCTATAGGATTGTAATCTAATATATACTACCAGTATATGGTAAATAATTTCCTATACGAGGATAAAAAAGATATTTACCTATATTTTCCTCGATACAGCCCAATTTTTAGTCCAATAAGACTCGTTTATGTATTTGAAACATGTGTATAAGTATGTACTTGTACACATTGAATTAATATGATTATAGGAAGATCAAGGGCGATGGTATTGAAATCGTAATTACAGTGCCTTTCGGGTGGTATTTGAAAAATTATACGCGACACTATATATTATATATTATTATGTTTTGTATAGATAAGCTATGTTTACGCATGCATATTTATATATATATATATAATATTGAATGAGGACTATGATACACAATGTCCATGGTGATGTCAATAACGAGTATAATATGTATATGATAGTCGTGTGTGTGTGTGTGTATGTGTGTGTGTAATTTTTTTAAAATTAAAGTATTAAAGTTTCGAACTAGTTCTAATAAGGCCTGCTGCAAGATTCACCGATGACGATAATTTTTTATTTATGATACCTATAGCGTACCAGTATTTTTATCATTTTGTTCATGGATTTCCTTTTATTGTTTATGATTTTAAGATAATACTCAGTGAATAAATTGAGCACTCGGTGGTTAGGTTCATTATATCATTATATCATTTTATATTAGATTATTTTATCGATTCTTGTATCACAAAAAGAAAAAAAAATACCCAACTATAATGTATTAATGTATTTCTCATAAAAAATATTGCGTCCTCGACATGGGTCTATTAGAAAAATATTGCTCAGAGTATAGTCTACAATATCAATGGGAGACTACATTTTAGGTATTGTATTATTCCCGTAGTCGAAAAACGAATAATAATTTGAATTTTACACATAACATAATATATTGTGTGTACGTATGATGCGTGCGTGGCTATGTATAATAGGCTCGTAGAAATAAGAAATAAAAACTCCGAAATGGAAATTATTTACATTTACATGTACCTTTTATTATATTATATACAGTACGTGCTTGACTACCGCCAGAAATCGGCTTTATTTTTAATATTATTTTTGTTTACAATAATAATATATAAATTTATAAGTATGTACGAGATGCGAAACATTACAATTTTTTTTCACTTCATCGTGTTGTTCTCGTGGTCTCTTCTCAGACCTTACAGCTGTGTTGAAATCTAACTGCAGAATTTATGCGCCGTTTCCAAAAATAACACTACTTTCATCTCTTTCAATGCTGTTAAAAACGCGCGCTGCATGCTATGCACACACACGACTTGTCGTCAACAACTAATTATCTTTGTACATTATGCGCATAGTAGTAGCCTGTCGCATGCCACGATCGCGCGCGGACGGGTGCGTGTTTATTTATATTTTAACGAGCCAATTTTGAGCATAACTAGTTGATAATATACTTAAGAGATGCTTATAAGATGCTAGTAACTGATTAACTCTATATGATTTTAATAGAACGATTAATTAGTTTTTTTTTACGACTGTAATCCCACGCTAACCCAACGTATTAATCTTGACGGGAAAAAAAGTATTTATCCTACAACTGGTACTGCTGCTGCTGCTGCTGCTACCACTACTGTTACAAGCTACATCTGTATGGTTTTAACGATTAATTATCTCAAACTTTGGTCTAGAAATAATTGTGAAAAGCGTACGGTGATTGGAATGAATAAAATGTTATTGTTACGCAATAAACTTCAATGTGCCTACTATAGACTATAATAGGTATCGTGACGGTAATTATTATGTTTGTACGAAGATGAGGTACTTATGTTCAAATAAAAATCTATTCAAATGATTAATAATTGTTCTTTTAATTTTTTGTTGTGCAATTAAAAACAAATAATATTTCACGAATTTACATTTTTAATGTTTTATTCACGGTGTAAAACCTATAAAAGAAATTATTTATACAATACAATTTTGTAATGAGTATATTATTAATAATAATTATTTCCTCCTTATAAAATTACTAAAAATGTACGCTTTAAATTGCACATGAAATTAAACTTTAATTATTTTGTATTAAAATCTACATTTCGAGTACTAAGGTCATATTAATCATACATAGCTAAATTTTAATTAGTCGAAAAGGTTTTTTTTTACATTGAAATTGATATTAATCTCAAAAAATGTAATATTTAACACAATAAATCCATACGTATCGAATTTCAATTCATACTACACATATAATTTAAACTACATACAATTATCCAATTTTATTATAATTCTTGTATTTTTTTTTTTTTAATACAACATTATGTTTTTTTGTAGGACGTACATACTTTAAACACTGACGGACTACCAACAAAATTAACGATCTTTGAAATATTTCTAAGGTAAGTGAAAAAAATCGTAAAAAAATGCCTAACGGTCTTAAAAAATAAAGACTGGGTTTTAAACATCCATATTTATGTAGTGTTATTCATATATGTATTTATAGTTTTATCATATAAAAATGTATTAGTAGGTATATAGGTATATAATAGACGTCTTGATTGTCTGCCGATGACAAAACTAGTTCCTTTGTCTCAAACTGCCGGTTATCATATAACGTTCGTGTTCTCCCGGCCAATTATAATGACTTCCAGCGGATTATGATACATCACGTGAAAAATAATATGCTTTAGACCATATCGGTCTCGAGTGGTACTTTCTCATGTTTCATCGACTTCCCCTTCGGGTATAAAGGTGGTATTCACATGAGAAACAAAGCGAACCCCTATTGATTTTTTATTTTATTTTTTCATCTAAAGAAATAACATTGTTCGCTGGGCCCTATGAAACACTGATTTTCACATACGCCTCCTCAAAATTGACCACACGTACTCATATATAACCGTTTTTTGGTCCATCTCAACGTAGGAGACCCATTCGGTAAGTGCATCCCCTTATGTTATATAAACGAGCGGCGGGGAAACTTCACAAACACATCTGCGCTCTCGAAATGTAAAAATAACGAGAAAAATAAAGGAAACAACACTTTTCTTTTTTTTTGTTTCGATGTATTATAATATGATATTAGTTAAAAATATTTGAAAAAAATATTCGACTAATGAGAAGATTTTGATTATATTTCTCGAAATATTTGCATTGGTTGGCATATATTCAGGATCGATTCACCCTTATAATGTATTTTTTCTCCTGAAAACATTCAGCACCAAGCGTTTTCGGTTAAAGGAGGGACACATATGTTCGTATTTATATTTTTATTTATTCATTTTTTTTTTTTTTATTCACATACGTTGAACGCCGTACAACAGTCAATTTGATTCGGCTAGCGATGTAAAGTTTCAAAAGTAGTTTTATTCCGGGCTCACATACCAATCATCGGGACAAAAAAAAAAGTTTGGCTTCCTAATTTCTAAACCGAGTGCGCATTTTTGTACGCCGTCGAAAACACGCTTTGTACGTGGGTTATACTTGTAAGATTTCTTCTTGTCGCCTTTTATATACTTCTCCCCCGCCACGGCGCCCGCCCATTGCCGTCGTTCGACCGTCGCCGCGTGGGGCTTCTGCTGACGTCCGCACACAACGCGAGGGGGTAAATGACCCTGGGCTCTCATTATTATGTTATTGGGTTAACTACACGAGCCCCAGCTGTAAATTGAATCAAAGCCCCGGGAACCCATATGGCGCGCAGGAAATTAATATTGTTCGTAGAAGAATAAAAAAAATATGAATACCTATGCACGGCCGCCTCGTGCGTGTATTGTGTTATAATAAAGGACAAGTATTTTTTTTTTCGACTCCACTGTATATGTATATGTATACGTTATACGCGTGCGTAGTGTGTGTATGTAAGTATAGCGATTGTAATTATTTGGAAGTGATTTATCTCTATTAGAGTTTGACGGTGGGAGACTTCTAAATGATTGACGAGATGATTTTCATCACCACTTATTGTGCACCATCTACTTACCACCTTGACTGATCAACCATTGTTTAGTTAAAAATAATAATAGTTATAACGAACGGTATATATGACGTACATATGCATGCGTTTAAACGGAATACACCATATGCGGGGTGCATGTACTTCCGATTTATATGCCTCGTGTAAAAAACAATAGTTGCTTTATTATATAATCTACGGGTCCCGTCTCAAACATTCACGACGAACACGAATTCACCTTCGGTTACCTTAAACGCGTAGAGGCATGTGTACATTTTACGTTGTGTACCAGAAAAAAAAACCATCTAGTCGTTTTCGAGCATTTCCGCCCGAAAATGTTTACATTATTTTTTACGTACCCGCGAGAAGGACAAATATTTACCATGCAACACAAACACCATTTCCATTTCTTACAAGTCCATTATCTGACGACTTTATTTTTTCTCGCTTGTGTGTATACCTACACGTTTTTGTTTTTGGAATATAAAAATTAAAATATTCTAGATGCACTCGATGTTGCGCGGCGCTCGTACAAAGAGTTGTTTTACTAGCAGCACATTGATTGTTTATAGTATTTTTTTTTTTTGTCAACCTAAACGGACTCATTTCGGATATTTAAAAGTGATATAGTCGTATCTTCGCACTGTATGTTTTAACGTACGAATATTTCGTAAAAATCCGGGTAATTTTGTGAGCTTCTCTTGAAATCGCCCGTCCGTGATGACGACAAAAATACTACCTAGCTTTCGTAATCGGATTCTGATAACAATATGCAATTCTAATCTTAGTTTAAGAGCTAAAACATGTGTTTCCGATTCAAAAGTAACGCATAAGGAAATCTGTATTGGCTATGTATTTTTATCATTAGTTATGGTATAGTATCTTTTTTCGCGTAAAACAAACGATTCATTTATAACTTTTATTTTTTATCGAAGTTTAAACACGTGTAAATTGTTATTGGATATTATAGAAAATAATTTAAAAATTTTTTTTAATACCGATTGTTGTAGCTTGACAAATCCAGAGCGACTCATAATCACGGGTAATATACGATTGCTAAATTTTCTTTTAATTTTTTTTTTAATCTGCCTTTTTTCTTGCGGGGTTGTCAGATTTGGTGTTAAGCCCGATGCCCACCAAAGCAATTCGGTGGCGATGTGGTACATCGGTGATGCACGTGGTACCACAATAAAATTAGAACATGATAAAACGCACTATTTTGGATTGCTTTGTCGCGCTTCTTTTTCTTTATAGTAACACACCAATATTAAATTAATGAATTTAATATTATTTGTTAAATTTTGTTTTATTTTCTAATAATAAAATCCTATACAATTAACAACAATGGTTTTCTATTATTATGCCGGGTGATATGATGTAGAATAAATACTAACATATTTAACTTTAATATTTTTCCTAAACTAATATTAATTTGATGAAAAACCAACTCGATTCGTATAGACATGATTTATTATTTAAAACTATTATTTTGTAATTTTTTTAATTTTTTTTTTTTTTAATTCTATGCAGTAGTTTATGAATTATACATAATTATATTGGTTTATTAATATCTGTACCAAGAGTCATTTTTTAATTAAACACATATTTTGAATAATTTTATTTTAGTTTGTAATGTAATTATAATACGAGGACTAATCAAAAAGTATCGAGACTGTTAAAAAAAAAAATATATTTAGTAGATAAAGTTATTTACATTCAATCTCCTTCAAAGTATGCTCCTTCTGAGTCCATACATGTTCTCCAACGTTCCTACCATTTTTGAAAACACCTGTGGAAGTCATTTTTAGAAACTCTTCGTAGCTCTTCCGCCGCATTTTGTTTTATTTCATCTACATCTTGAAAACGTTTACCCTTAAGCGCCATTTTTATTTTTGGGAATAAAAAAAAATCACCTGGAACTAGGTCTGGTAAATAGGGGAGGTTGAGAAACAACTGGGATACCATGTTTGGCCAAAAATTGCTGCACAACATGGGCTGAATGGGCTGGTGCATTATCGTGATGCAATTTCCAACTACCAAACTCTTTAAACTCGGGTCTTTTTCTTCGTACAGCGTCTCGTAAATGGCGAAGAACATCAATGTAGTACTCCTTTGTTATGTTCAGTCCTTTTGGAGCATACTCATGATGAACAACACCTTGGTAATCAAAAAAAACGGTCAACATGACCTTCACTTGACTCCGAACTTGATGAGCTTTTTTGGGTCGTGGTGTATTAGGTGTCTTCCACTGCGAAGATTGTACCTTTGTTTCTGGATTGTAGCTATATACTCAAGTCTCGTCACCAGTCATAATTGATTTAAAAAAAAAATCATCAGATTTGGAACACTCAAGTAAATCAGTGGCGATCTGTTTTCGATTTTCTTTTTGCTCATCTGAGAGTAGTTTTGGAACAAATTTGGCTGCAACTCTTCTCATGTCTAAATTAGTCATCAATATGGTTTGAACTGATCCAAATGAAATTTGAAACTCATTACCAAGTTCCATAATTGTCAAATGACGGTTACCTCGTGTTGCTGTTCGTATTTTTTGGATAATTTCCTCATTGCGGCTTGTTGATGGGTGTTTTTCACGTTCATCACTTTCAACAGTTGTTCTACCCTCTTTAAATCGTTTAAACCATTCAAAAACGCGAGCACGGGACATGGTTTCATCTCCATAAGCTAACAATAATATTTGATAGGTTTCAGTAGCCGTTTTTCCCAGTTTATGGCAAAATTTAATACACACTCGTTGTTCTGTATTTTCGCTCATTATGAAATCCGACGGGACGTAAAAACATACTTGACTTAATCGCACCTAGAAGTCGACTGAGACAATTTTAATCTAATCTATTTCTAATATATTTTCCCAACATATAAAGCTAGATTAATATAGCACGTGCAAGTTCATACTCAAACCGGTTTACGATTAATCGTATCAGTCTCTATACTTTTTGATTAGACTTCGTATAACAGTATTATAAACATCGAGTAGAATTTACTAAAAAAATTTAATTAAATCCTCAAATAAAATAAAATTCAGAAATTTTTACACAATCGCTCGTTTTTTGGCTAAAAAAATTTTTTTAATAAGAGATATTCGTTTGCTATCATTCGCTACCCATAATCACGAGTCAAAATCCACTGTTGATGAACCAATTTATTAACAAGGGTGCACGTAAACAAGTAATTTAAATAAAAATTTATACTCTTACGATTTTTTAATAAAAATAAAACAATTAATTATAAATGTTCATTATGGTATATATTTATGAAGAGATTTTATTTAAATAACAAAGGTTATTACATTTTATTTATGGAACAAATCAGACCATTATTTTATAGGAATCCCCTCATTAATAATTCATTTTAATCGTTATCGTTAAAATGCATTTACTAGAACCGAAATTAATGAACGTCAACTGTATTATATTAGTAAATTATGCATACGTTAATATTTAAAACTGGTTAATATCACAATTTAAATGAATTCTATAAAAGATAGTTTTTTTATGTTGTTAAATCAAGTATATTGTGTTTTTTGTAATATATCTGAGGTAAGTCTCTAAACATACCATATAAAATTTATATTCTAATAATTTTATATTATATAATTGTAATGTAAAACTTTATATGTATATAATTTAATTTTAATCGGATATTCAACTATAGAACACTTAAGTAAAAGTATAATATTTAAATTTTTTATTGGTATTAAACAAAGTTAGTCAACTGTAAAATCAGACCAATTTGGAGTACAAAAAATTTTACGTACTTCATACTTATTTATAGGATTTATTTGAACAATAAAAATAACATATATTATTAATTTATATTTATTGATTAAAAAATAATATTCATCATATAGTGTAATCAATTTTTTTTTTTGTAATATAAATTGAATTAATTTTTTTAATTATTTAATGCTTAAATTATTATATTTTCTCTAATAGCTGAAAAAAATCCAATTGGATAAAATTGAATTGTACCTCTGCTTTTTTATTTCATTTCAAAAATAAAATAACGTTACATACCATTTTGATTATTTTTAAAGATTGCTGCTTTACTTTAAAAATCGAGTTTAAAGTTAAACTTACTTGGAATTTAATTTAGTGTTTTTATAATTTATTATTTATTTTGTTTAAAACGAAGAGAGTTGATAAATTATTACGTGTACTGTTAACTTTAGTACTTAATTATTTATATTAATTGGTAGATAATTATGTGGGGTTAAAAAAGACCTAAAACACGTAAACCATATTTTACTTATCCATAATTCATTTATATTTTTAGTTTAGCTTTTATTATTATTACACACGAAAATATAATTTACTATCGCTGTTTAAAAAAGTGTATGTCAACAATAAATAAATATTTTTAACACATTCCAGGTCATTATTTACATAAACAAAGAATAATTTTATTTTAAATAAATAATAAAATAACTATTTTACTTATACTAGTTCTACATTATATTTTTGAATGTTAAATCGTTGAAATTAAATATAAATTAAATAAATTATAGCACAAAAGAAATTATTACTTTTCTTACAGATAATTTAATTGGGTCTAATTTTTTGCACTTGAGATAGCTAAATTATTTTTGTAATTTATTAAATCATTTTTTTATCATTTTTAACAGTGTCGTTATTTTACTTTACATCTACAAACGAAAATAAATTATAATTGGGTTTAAATAATTGTAAATATATTTTATTAGTTACTATTTCACCTTTTTAAAACGCAGTACTAATATTTTACAAATTCTTCATTTATCTTTGATCTTTATACCATTAATTAGTTCAAATCTAAATTTAATTAAAAAAAAAAAAAAAAAAAAAAAAAAATACTTAAATACTTATTTGCAGAAAAAAAAAACTGTGAAAATTAAGGAAGACCAGTGCCGCAATAACCGGGTGTGTTGCGTGTATCAAACACACGGGCCCATGACCATAGCTTATATAGGGTCCAATGGTAATAATTTAAAAATATGTAGAAAGCAAGAGAATTAAACCATTTTGTAATAATAATTACTTATGAAATTGAAAAATAATTGATTGATTTTGTTTTGCACACATTATCGTACATCAACGTTTTTTTTACATTCTGTATAATTGGAATTCAAAATATTTTGGTTACAAATACGGTACAGTCTCTCTGCAGAGTTTGGATGCAGGAAAGGGGATTCATTTTACTTACACACGGGCTCAAGTTAGTGTAGTTGCGGCACTGGGGAAGACTTAGTATTTAATAGAATCCATACTAAAATAATTAATAGTTCATTTTTACTATTGTTTTTGTAAATATTAAGCCCCATGCATGCTAATAATTATAATAACAAAATCTTGATCGTAAATCATTATTGAATGCAATGATTTTTACTCAAGATTTATCTTTACTTCAAAATTCAAATTAACAATGCAATATAAATGTTATTTTATTAACTTTTATACTTTTAAATAACGATAATTTTACAATAAATTTGAAAATATTTCAACCATTTTATTTAGAATTTTATAAGACTATCAATTGTATAAAAGTACGTATGTCTGTATTTTTCAAATTCTATATATTATACATAAATAACAAATGTAGTTGATGATTGATTACACCTAATGTTATTAAACTGCTAAATTATTCACCATAACTTATAATTTCAAAAAATATTTTTTTTCAACTTGGGCCGTTTCGAAATTTCTTACACAATTTATGGAGGTTTAGTTTTCTTTTTTTTTTGAGTTATTTTTAAACGAATTGCCTATCCATTTCGTTACACGTGTTTAAAAATGTTATCTTGAAATTTCTTGCCAAAATATTCATCCATCTGTCAGTTTTGATTAATGCGCTTGAAGTTCCTCTTAGAACATTTTTCAGGCTGTACGTGTAAAGCTAATGAGCCCTGCCGTAAAAAGCGTCTCACACTAGGACAAGTTGTTCGCAGAGCCCTGATCAATCCTACCAATGACTAAGCTGTTTAAATGTAAATTTTACATTAGGCTTCAGTTATCATTTTTTCGGTTTTATTACACTCAACTTAAAAATATCCTTGAAGTTTATGTTCGTGGACCTGTTTCATTATAATGAAATTACCTGTCGGATTGTATGCTAAGTGTATAATTTAAAATTATTTATTGATTTATTTCTGGATAGTATTGACAGACATACTTTCAATGAAATATAATATCAGTGAACCGTAGTTATATTATATCTGTTTTTGGACTAGAGGTTGTTCAATATTAGAAAAGTAATTAGTTACCTATAATTATTGCGAACAAGCTGACATTCGTTGTTTGTCTATAACAGTGTATGCAATAAACACTAGTTATGGTTTTAATGGAAATGACTGTTATTATATATTATATCTATATATACCTGTAAATTTGGTCATACTGAATTTTTTAAACATATTTACATATACGATTTATCCTATAAACGTGTAATTTCGTGTTTTCCAAAAATATATTAGTATGTTTACTGCTTTTCGTAATATATTGGATATCCGCGCCTTTAAACGTGTGTCCGTTTATTACATTATGTTATTTAGTATTCAGCATTATATTTACTGCACTACTATCAAATATTTGTTAACAAAATTGTGTACCAGTAAGAGTTCTCAAGTCTGTATAAATGTTTTATAATTTACATTTACGGCTGTTGTAGGGTCGATGATTCTCATAATTAAAACTGTGAACTTTACAAAGTAAATTCATAATATATTTATGTAAATCGGGGATTGAATTTTGTACGAATATTTTTCATTGTGTTTAACGGTAATATTTTATTCAGGCTACATTGTTTATTCCGGGTTATTAGTGACTAATCCGTTTTGTTATTCAAATATTATAATGTATGTTCTTCATATCTGAAGTGACGGGACAACGTGTTTTTATTGACAGCGGTTATAATTTAAATTTTTGATCACTCATAAATTATGGTAAATTTTTAAAATATAAAGCACTAACTGTTAAGTTGTAGCTAGATCTTTATTATAAAAAATATCGATTTTAATATTTATTATGTAATATTGCCTTACATTAATATTTTGTTATAATATGCAATTGACTTTTTTGTTAAACTTTTCATTGTTTTTCTGTTTGATAACTATAGACTATATTACAGTTTAAAGAACACAAATTTATAAATGTTAAAAAAAAAGTTTTCGTTGAAACAAAAATTCAAAATTCTGAAGTATTCCCTATGCAGGAAAATGTTTTTTCTCATTGTATATGTTAATATTGTAGAGAATAATTTGTAATACCTACATCTATACAGTGATGTAAATTGTATAATACATATTGTATTATATTGTATTATACAGGCGTATTATACGTCATGTATAAAAAAGTAAAATACAAGTGGTATAAAAAAAAAAAAAATCAGTGATAATTGATAAATGGTAGATAACAGTGATAAGTAGGGACCGGATTTATATGCATGAAAAATCTTCAAAATATGCTTCTAAAAATGCTGTAATATGTTATAAAATATGTATTTATTTTTAAAAATGTACTTAAATATTCATTTAAAATGCTGTTTAAAATTATGTACAAATATTATTAATGTAGTATTGTATGTAAAATAAGAATTGTATAGTATGTAAAAATAATCATTAATTAATACGGTACTAAAAAAAAGGATAAAAAAGCTTTTAAAATATTTTGTCGTCTTTATCACCATTTAACATTCTTTATCTTCAATCTATAAAGTATAAATACCAACATTAATAAAAAGTGAAAACAAAAATTGAATTCATATTTTACCTTATTGTATTGA